GATTAGTGACTACTGTGACCTGTTGATTTGATTTGGAGTCCTTGGCATTCGGTTTATTCTGACCTCTACTGACAGTGCATTTGTAATCATCCATCTTCCTTCAAGGTTTAACCTTCCATCCCTTTAAAACAAATTTCTCACATTGTCGGGATCTGGGGACATTGTAGCAGGGATGTGACTTGATACCATTCACTTGCCCTTTGCCCTTCTCTTTGTGCTGGAGTTCACCTCACACCTTTGTGGAGGCATTCAATGGCACTGTTCCTCTCTAATACGTTTCCCAAAAGTGACGGTCATAACCTTTTGGATTTAAAATAAATGATCTGCATTTCGTAAGGGTGACTGTCTAAATTTGTATTGTTCAGGCAGCAAGTAACGTATTCTGAAAAGCCTCCAACTTAAATGGTCTTGCCAACAAACTTTCTATACCCAGTTTTGGCTCACATTAAGGCAACAGATGTGGATTGAAATGCTTTTATAAATCAAACTCACTTAAAAGGAAAGTGCGGATTTATTTAACGGTAGTTGTTTTGCCAACTCAGCAGAATTTGCCTTTCAGCTAACTTGGCCTCAGGCCGCTTTGAGCCATCATCAGTGGCCAAGCCTTGAAGAACTAAATCCCAACCCTGGGATTCCCTCCATCTCTCCTTTTGTCTCTCCACGCCCACCCGTCTGTCTTTAAATCTCACCTAAAAGTGTACCTCGTTGACCAGATGGAAAGGGGAGCATGTCAGCTGGGACTCTCACTGTGTGAGCAAAGCTGGCACATTGTGCAGGGTGTTCTGACACCATTCAATATTCTCCTGCTTTTCAGCGACACCACTGTGCCAGTGAGAGAGTCTGAGGCACACGACTCCACAGGCTGAACCCAATACATGCTCAATCCATGGTCATGTTCTCTTTCTATCCACAGGGGTAGGAACACAGCAGTGTAGCAATATCAGAACAGGAGGAGGCCAATCAGTTCTGTGGACCTGCTTTATTAGTTGCTAACAGATTTTTTGATCCCCTTTCTTTTTCATTACTTTTTAATTATACAATTAAGGGCACCTGTAATTCCCTCTGTGCACGTGACCGTGCTCAACAATCAATAATATATTTTCACACAAATCTCAGATCACACCCTCAAATTATTGTGAAATTTCCAATTCCCACATCAGTCTTATGGATCTCTGATGTTGAGATTCTGCATGTTAGTACATTTGCGGTGAGGCTATCAGCTTTTCCACCTGGTTCCCACATTTTATGAGCTCTGTTTGGAAAAATTGCTCGCGCAATTATTTTTAATTCCTTGTGAGCAAACTCTGTGAAGTGCGGATATGAACTATCTGAGTAATTGTCCTCATTCCCAGGCTCACCTATTTTTAGCTGATATGTACTTTTTAATCTGTTGCATGTATATTTAACAATGTTTACAGCTTCTCTGTGCAATCCATCACACAGCCACTATGGCTATTGCCTCCTGTTGATTTTTTCATTAACTAATGTTTGACTGTCTGGTTGCAATGTGTGTGATAAAGTGTTTCTAATTATTAAATGTTAATACTTGAACAAGATTTGAAAGATCAATCTTAAATAAGCTTGATTTTTCAGATCAAAAGGAAAACAATTCTGATGCCTGGTCACATCAATAGTGGGATACCGTGTGGTGAGTTTGAGGGAAAGTGCGTGTGTGTGTGTGACATGGACCACAGAGTTCTGGATGGTCTGCAGTTTGTATAGGGAGGAGCTGGGGAGTCTGGCAGTGGGGTGTTGGAATAATCGAGCCTGGAGGTGATCCAGGCGTTGATGAAGGATTCAGCGGGGGAAAGTGGGGGGGTGCGGGTGTGGTGGGAGGTGATGACGGAAGCAGGTGATGGTGCAGAAGTCAGGCAAAGCTGAGAGCTACGCACGCAAGCTCCGTTTTACCCAGCGGTTTGATTTTGAGATTTGTGTTCCAACTTTCAAGTGCCTCCGCACACTCTCTGTGATTTCCTGCAGTCTCACTCCTCACCCATTCCATCCATTCTGCTAACTCAGACCTGCTGAACATCCCACAGCCTCTCCAGTCCACCATCAGCTACTTTGCCCAAACTCTTTGGAACTCTCTCCCCAAATTCCTCCATCTCACATACTCCTTCTCTGCTGTCAAATCCCTTCTAAACACCTAACACTTTGACTTGCCTTTGGTAACCTCCCTCTTACCATACCCCCATCTCCCACTCTGTTTGGACACATACTCCATTGCTGTAAAACAGATTGAGATGATTACTTGTATGAAAGACACTATATAAGTGCAAGTTTTTATTGTTGAATCAATAACAGGTACATGGTTCTAAATAGAATCATAGATCTTTACAACACAGAAGAAGGCCACTTGACTTCATCTGTACTTATCTCAATGCTTTGCTCTATACACCTTCAGGCGTCTAACAGAAAAATATTATGTTGGATGGTTACAGATTTTAAACCCCTTTATATGAAAGAAGGGACTTCAAATCGCCATTAGCCACAGTAAAAGCTTCTTCATGGTTAAATAGAGATAAATAAAGATAAACATACGCATATTTTGTTTGACCTGGTTGCATGTGTGTTATCTGATTTAATGCATTTACGGCTGAAAGCTTGGAATATTTACTGTCATGGAATGAAACACTCAGAGGAGATTCTTTTCCCAAGAAGTTAAGAATAATCCTGGCACTAGCAGATTTAAGAGAATGATTGATCAAATTACAAAAATTGGTTGCTGTGTGGGATATGTTTTAGTTCAAATGGTTGTTTACCACAATACCCTTTGCTAATACAACAACTTGCATTACATAGCTACCTTCACACCGTCTGGCATCTCGGAACACTTATTTACTCCAATAATACTGTATTGGAATAAATAAGTGCAGCCCTGTTAGAATATGTTTTATTGCAGCGCAGATTTGCTTATAACATAAAAAACGCTATATCAAATGTAAGGATTATTATTATAACTCCAAAGGTGTGTGGACCCCATTTACTCGGCAAGAACACCACACAGGAAGTGATGTCGGCGGCAACCTGATCATCCAGAAGTTGGATATTTTTCTCTATCGTGGAACCATTTGGCGGGTGACTTTCCCCATAAATCTGCAATGACTCCCTTTTGGATATCTATCCAACTTCCTCTTCAAAAAAATATGAATTGTGCCTTGGCCACCACTCCTGGTAGAAATTCCACATTATAACAACCCTCTGTTAAGGTGTTCCACTTCAGCAGCAGACATATTGGGAATCATGGCAAAACCTTTTATTTAACAACAACGTTTAAATTGTCAATGCAAATAGAAACTGACAGCAGTGATATAAGGCTGATTTATTCTGCGTAGTCAGCTCAGGTTCAGGCTAGAGTAAGATTTTCTAGAATGTTTTCTTCATCTATCAGGAGTTCACACTGAAATGCTTTGAGAAAAACTAAAAGAAAAAGAATTGTATGTAAGTTAAGGAGATGTCATTCATTTTAATTTAAATTTAGCCTTAATTTGAAAAACAGATGTCAGCAGTTTTTTGTAGCATTAACATCACACAACCAGGGAGCTTTCAAGTGACCATGGAGGAACAGAGTTGATGCGAGATTCACGTCAACTTCTCTTGGACTGCAGTGTTGAATTGTCATGAACTGAAAGTAAAAACGGCAAGAGGGAATTTATCACTCACAAGTCTAACCATCAGCGAGTTCCTCTTAATTTTGAAAACTCCACTCCTAGATTGTTGTTATTTACTATTGTTTATGTTCTTGACCTTAGTATCTCCTCTGATTTCAAATGGAACAGCTGTGTTTCCTTGATTGTCCCAAAGACTTTCATTTTCCTCTTTAGCACCAAATGTTTATTTTCCTCTCTATAAAGTTCAGGTCTTCCTGAGGCTTGAATTTGTGTTCCAGTTCTTAAGGAGGTTCTTCTAGCATGTTTCATCTTCTTAGCAAAAATACGACAAAAGGTAATTCCCATCACGTTATAGACTGACAAGAATTTCATTAATTTATTCAAATATAAAAGAGTAAACTTAATACCTACATAGGAACAATGGAATAAAGTAAAGGCTTGATGTCCAGGCCACAGACTGATTTCCATGGTGGATAGTCATGAACGGTGCTATGTCCAAGTATTATGGATGGATATACAACCTATAGGTTGCTGCGATGTAAACAGTTGCTAATATTATACTATATATAAATGTATTTTGGACAAATTCTGAAACCAACACACCAAATGTAATTTCCATTATGCAGATATTTGATAATAACTTCCAACAATTTGGTGGCTGAACTACTTTCATCTGACACTGAATATTAGGTCCCTCTAGTGGTTTGTTTTAGTATTCATGGCAAGAATTTGTTAGCACACGATGGAGTAAGCGTTTGTAATGTTTTAAGACTGGACTGTTAATGTATACCAATGTAAATGGCCAGTAAGTGGCAGTGCTCCCATCCTGGGAATGCTCCTTTTCAGACTAGAATCGCAAAACAATCTGTGTTATTCCTACAGCCAGTTGTGGATTGGCTCCCCGAAAGACCTTGAGATTTTCATATAAAATGGGGGCACTGATTGGTGCCGGCTCCAATTTGTCATGTTTTAAAAACTTTGTCAGTTTTTCAACAGAAGAGCGAGATTTGGGGAATGATTGACTATCATAGGTGTCACTCATCAGGGAGGGCAGGCTCTGGCCAATGACTTGCTGGTCAGAGCTGTCGGGTTCTGGGGTAGTAAGTATTGGGAGCCAATCATGGGGCGCTTGGGAATCATTCCTGGGGCAAAAGGGAAATTTCCTGTTTTTCCATATAGCCAGTCACCTCTACTTGCAGCCAATTTGTAGACAGCAATACCCCACAGATCTATGCCCATCACTGAAGAATGATCTATACATGTCCATTTAGGCTGCGTTAGCTGTTCTTTCTAATGTACTTGGACATCATATGTTTAGTGCATTCTTCTTGATGTTGTCACTATATCAGTGTTGTGCTCCTAATAATTCACCTTTTTTTAATTTTCCAGGTTTTTGTTGGTCCTCGCGTGCCTAATCCTGGCCATCCTGTCAACATTTGTTGAATTTGAGACACTCTCAGAACAGTGGCTCCTAATACTGGTTGGTACACACTATCTTCTCTCTACTGAACTGTCATTATACCTGCAAAGCTAATGTTCTTCTGATCATAACATAGAGGGATAACATGTGTGGTATTCCTTATACCGTTCCTCAACCTATTTAATGAATGTTTCAAAGAATACCAGTAGGTTGTGCTGTTCTCCAGGGAAATGGTTTGTTCCTCAGGATCCTCGCGCTGCCATTTTGTGTAACCTTGAGGGAACTAGTTTATTTTGTAAAATTTAGGTATTATGTTGGGTTCTTAGTCATTTTTAGTCTAGGAGAGTGTGGATTTCAATACAGTACAGTTTACCTTTATATAGTGCCTTTCGTGTCAGAAGAATGTACACCTCTTGGTATTCCTTAAAGAGATCCTTAAGTTAAGTATGCATTAGGGAACTGTTAAGAGTCAAATCAGCTAAAACGCAAGCTATTTTTAGCTGGTCAAGCAGTACCTCAGTACACACTCTGGGGTCCCCAAGCCTTGGATTTTACCAACCGTAACATAATATTCTCTGGAATTAGGTAAACAGGATGAGTCTCTCCAGGGAGAGAGTACACATTCCATTCCAATAAATATTTCCAGACTTGCTATTCATTGATGGGATGCATAGAACTCTTAGTTTGGTTTGGATGCTCTGAAACATGGTGATGGTTTACTACTGACCAAAAAACATAAATTAAGAAATACTTGTTTTGGGATTAGTTTTATTGTTAGTGGTCTGACATTATAGGATGATGTGTTGAAGGATTATACAGGGATTGTGTTGCCAGAGAGTTGAATACGTGATGGGAAGTAAAGGGCTGAACTGCTGTACTGAAGAGCTGCCGGTGTGCTGAAATACTCTACACTGAGCTATATTTGCATGTCTGTGTTTGAACAGGAAGCTGTTACAATAGTTGTGTTCGGAATTGAATTTGCTTTGAGGATCTGGGCGTCTGGCTGCTGCTGCCGGTACAGAGGATGGAGAGGACGTCTGAAATTTATCAGGAAGCCTCTATGCATCCTAGGTGAGTGTATCTTTTGTTAATGATGAACAAAGAAGAAATATCTCTCCTTGTGGGTAATTGGCATGGTGAGACTTAAAAAGTGCTGAATGTGAAAGTGGTAATGTAAATTAAGCCATAATGCTGCAAAAGGTTCCTTGGATCACTGATGCATCTGTTACAGGCAACCTAATTATACTTCACACCTTTGACTCATTCAGTCAAGGGTGGAGTCCTGTTGCTCAGTGGTTGAAACACCTGCCTCGCAAGTGAGAAGACCTGGGTTCGATTCCCGGAAGGGCGAAATGTTGGGCAAGTTTCCTTACTCCGCACGTCTGTTTGCCAAGCAGTAAGTAGAAAATCAGTTGTTAGTCGATTAGCGGATTGCTTTTCAGGGGTAATAATTCCTTAAAAAAAATTAATAATAATCCTTGCATTTGATATAGTGCCTCATCACGTCTTTGAGACGTCTCAAAGCACTTCACAGAATATACTGTCAAGTGTAGTGACTATATATTTTGTGGGTGAAACGAGACACACAGTCATGGATTGAGTGACCAAATTAATAAATTGTACAACCACAAAATATACAGTCAATTTAATTTACAGTATATTCTCTGAAGCAATTTCAGACGTCTCGAAGAGGCACTATATCAAATGCAAGGATTATTATTATTATTATGATATTCAAGGGGCAGCTGGATCCTGAAACTGGTGAGTATTCTGTAAGGATGAGGGGTTTATTCATCTGAATCTCTCTTGTGATCAATCTTACATATTTAAGACAAAATGAGCTTGCAGGCTGAAACCAGGTTGGGTTTCGGTTCTTAGGTCTATCCAAGATATACATTGAGTCACTGAGTGGCAATCAGCATTTAGAGCTTGAGCAGCAAAGTCAAGAGTGTGAACATTCAGTTGTGCCTAGGAGGCATGCAATTGGACTTAGATCAACCACCCAGTGTTAGTGGTGGTGATGGTGGCGAGGCCATCCATCAGGTAAGCCAGACTTTCTTGGAGCTGAACTGGCATCAAGGTGACATGCCTGGCAATGGAATGTCAGAATTGAGCCAGCTCTCTGAAGCAGCATCAATAGTATAGGTTCCTGAGTCAGGCAGGTCCATGGCATTCCAGTGTACTGCTGATGACAGTACAGCCAGCCTGGCTCATCGGCAGGACCTAGAAGGGCAGACCAGTCACTGGGGGCAATGGCCACTTAGCTCCTGTTAACCCTGCAAGCCAAAGCCTTAATGGATAGGGTGGTTCTAGCTGGACACGCAGCGGGAAAGATTGCCGGACAGCAATATCAATGGCAAGCTACGCGGTTTTAGCTGGTGCAGTGCCCCAACACATACTCTAGAGTCCTCAAGCCTCAGCTCTTGCTACTCTGAGCCTGATATTTTTTGGAATTAGGTAAGCAAGGATGCATCCCTCCAGGGGTGCGTATTCCATTCCAAAATCTATCTCTGGAGTTGAGAAGCAGGTTTTGTGTTGTAGCTGAGCTGTTACTGACCCAGTGCCTCTCTCTCCTGTCTGCCCAGATATAATTGTGCTGATCGGCTCTGTGGTCATCGTCGCAGCCGGGGCCCTGCAGAACATCTTGGCCACATCACTCCGAAGCTTACGGTTCCTTCAGATCCTGCGGATGCTGCGGATGGACCGGAGAGGAGGCACCTGGAAGCTTCTAGGTTCAGCAATTTGCGCCCACAGCAAGGTAGGAGTGGGCACCAGAAACATTGTGTAGATTAAAGGTAACTTCTCTTAAATTTAGCCAGGAGGCAGAGACTGGGTTTTAATGCTGTGCATTTTGTCCGATCACTTCTGTCCTTTTCCACTGGATTCCAGAGTCATGTTTTATTCCTTCTCTCAGTTTGTCACTGGATCCAAAGGTAGTGAAGAGAAGAATAAATCGATGTCCAGTGAATTCCCGCTTCCGATGCCATCACTATGTTTGGGCCTAAAGTGAACTGGTGTCCACTGTTGCACTTGCCACTCAGCGGATCATGTTGTTTCGATGTCCGTACCTAGGTTATCAGTTTAACTCAACTTCAACTTTTCTGCCAAATAGCTATCTCATCTCCTCTGAAATATGGAGACACATTCGGCCTGCACTGTCTCCCTGGGTGATCTATTCCACATGTTTTACTATGTGTTAATAAATTGAATGAGAACTGCCTGCTCACCCTCCCCATTCTGAGCTTGACTCCACGTTCCCAAGTGGCAACACTAACTTGTGCAGCCTGGCGCAGTCGATAGCACTTCTGCCTCTGAGTCTGAAGTTTGGAGGTTCAAGCCCCAACTCATAGTCCAGGCTGATATGCTCCAAGATGCTGCCCTGCTTGAAGGGCACTATATAAATGCAAGTTGTTGTTGATACTCCAATACAAAGTTGAGTAGTGCTGCATTGTTGGAGGTGCCGTCCTTTGGATGAGATATTAAACCAAGTTCCCTCTGCCTGATCAAGTGGAAAGTAAAGATCCTTTGACAGTATTTGAAAAGAGAATGGAGAGAAGGGAGTTTCTTCCAGTGTCCTCAACAAAACAATTGGTCATTCACTTTATAGGTCTTTGTGGAACATTTGTGCAAATTGTCTCTTGCCTATAAAAATAAACCCTGTGAAGTTCTTTGAGGCATCTTGCTGATGTGAAAGGTGCTAGATCAAATACATGGATTATTATTATTTATTCTTCTATTATTATCAAGTAAGGTTGTGAGTTTCAGTAACCAGTCAACCTAAAATAGCAGCCCCTGATACCTACTTATATGACCATCAAAACAATAAAACCAGTAGGTTGGCTGGTTGATGATAGATGCAGGACACATTTATAATCTGTATAAATGCCAACCTTAAAGAAGCTAACCAAAGTTTGTCTTGTTTATCAGGAGCTTATCACTGCCTGGTACATTGGATTCCTTTCACTCATTCTGGCCTCGTTTCTGGTTTACCTCGTTGAAAAAGAAGACACCGTGAATGAGGACAAACCCCAGGATTTTAATACCTATGCAGATGCACTGTGGTGGGGATTAGTAAGTGCAGATACCAGTATTACAGCTTATTGAGTGCAATAGGACACTGCTGGACCATGATGGCCTGTTTTGCCTTCTAAGAAACAATCACGCATTTCTATATATTTCTTTTGCGATTCACACTTCATCCTTTTTTCAGGTTGTTTAAATTTAAAATAATGCGACCTGAACAAAAGACAAAATGTTAATGTAGGAAAAAGAGGTCATTCAGCATTTTGAACTTGTTTTCATCATTTTATCAAATCACAGCAGATCTTTTAATCCCCTCTACCCAACTTGTGTTCAAAACTCTTAATTCCCTTACTTCCAAAGTGGTTTTCTAGCTCCATTTCAATTGATTCTGCCTTTACCGCCTTCTGGGGCAGTACATTCCATCTTTTCACAACCCTGGGTGAAGAAATCTCAAGTCTGTATGATACATGTATTATTCATAGCTACCCCGGCTATATTCTGCTGTGTTTCAGGTACTTTAATTAATTCTCGGCACCTTTGTTTGCCTTGGTGCATCACAGTTGAAGTGCAGTGGAGAGGAATTAATGAGTGACCTGGGCATTGCAAAGCTATGTATATTCTTTAGTAGGCCTGTTTGGGGATAGCTCTGCAGAGCACTCAGTGTGCAATGTTGATAGCGCATGTAGAAAAACATTTACAATTGATTTTGTTTTGGTCAGCCGCATGTCTGAAACCTAGCACCTCAAGCATCGCTAAGGGCACTTGTAATTCCTCTGTACGTGCACATTTAAAAATAGTTTACACATACTGCGTATTACACATTTGTTTTTACATGGATTACATATGGTTTACACATGGTGCAGAACTGTCCTTCATTGCTTGTGTAAGTGTGAGTTTCTTCTCCAGATTACTCTGACCACAATCGGTTATGGTGACAAAACGCCAAAGACTTGGGCAGGCCGGGTCTTAGCTTCGATGTTTGCTCTTATAGGAGTGTCTTTCTTTGCTCTGCCAGCGGTAAGTATCAGAAATGTCTAATAAAGACTAATATGTACATCTATATGTATCAAGGGCCCAATTTGCTCACCTCCTCCAAATTCCCCCTTCCACACTAAGAAGAAAACAAAATCTGTGAAATCAGGTGTTTCTGCTATATCACTTCCTGAAGGTAGAACAAATGGGCAGAGGCCAATAATGTATCCAGTTTACTGTGTAATTGAAATTATCATTCCAATTTTAAACAAAAAAGCAAAATACTCACTCGATGATGGATAAATACATATTTAGATTGTGTTTGGACTCACAATACTGAGGGATGGCAGTGCTAGGAAATAGGACACCTTATAACTTTTGGCACCTGGTGTTAGCATTGCCCAGTTTCTGATGTAGATCAGAGGTTCCCATCCCATATCTTAAAGGCAATGCTCAGTGGAACACTCTTGTAGTGTGACATTGGGGCTAATTTATAATATTCGCTAAAGAGACAGGAAGCTGTATTGGTGGGTGTGATGTATATGGAAGTTCCCTCAAGTGTCTTGCTTCATGGTTCAAGGCACATTTTCCAACCTTTAACTTTGTGTTTTTCCCAATGAAAGCTTTTTACATGTTTTTACTGCTCCAACATGCAGTTTCAAATTGTTATTCCACAGCGCCTCCATGTGGAATAAATATAATTTACAACCATTGGCTCAGATCAGCAAAATTTGAAGAGGCCAGTTTGAAAAAAGAGGCATAGCTAATATAAAACCTCCAGTTAAAGATGTAACAAGAAAAAATCAGTTAAAATAACTAATTCCTTAATCCTTCTTGATAACTGAGGTGGTGTTTAGTTGAGTTGTCTGAGGGATGGGAAGATGGGTCTTAACAATTGGACACAATTGTATTTTAAGTCAGGGTCATTTTCATTTGCACATTGGACATAAATATTAATCTTTATTTGTAGTGTTGCATTCGCAGTAAAAATACATACATTTATTTTTAATGAATAAAAATGTTTAATAAATTAATAAAAAGACACATTTGATTTCTTTTTAAAACCTGCTTCTTCGATCATGCCTTGGATCACCCCTATGTCTGACCCCACCACCACTGAAAAGCGGTCTGAGATGTTATGTTAGGTGAAGGCCATAATATGAATGCAAATTGTCGTTTTTTTCTAATTATATCTGCAGTAGGAGATAATTTTTAATATTTTTTTAACAAGGGCATTCTTGGTTCAGGACTGGCTCTAAAAGTACAGGAGCAGCATCGACAAAAGCACTTTGAGAAGAGAAGAAATCCGGCGGCCAACTTAATCCAGGTCTGCTTTTAAATACTAGAAATGGCTTTGAAATTAAGGATTGTCACATTAATGAAGTGATATTTTCACATCTGCACACACATTTGACTGTGGTACCGTTCCTCTTGCTGCTAAGTGCAAGGACTAACCAGCAGGCTTATAATGTGATTTCCCATTATAAACCCCCATCATCAAAGCCACTACACTGAAAACAGTGTAAATGGTGCTTGGCAGTGGAAAAACGCCTCAGGTCCAAAGTGTAGGTCCTCCAGGGAATCAGATGGGCACAGTCCTCCAAGATATTATTATCTTGCATGAAAGGTGTTACATATATGCAAATTGTTGCAGTTGTACATCACGCTAACTCCCGAGCCTTCAGCTCCCCTCTCGACTCTCTTCACCCTCCTCGCTCCCTCCCTTCCTTCCCCTCACCCTGACCATTTCCCCCCTCCTCGCTCCCTCCCTTCCCTCACCCTGACCATTTCCCCCCTGCTCGGGTCATGACCCAACTGTGCAGCGCCTTGGGACGTCCTCCTGACGTGAAAGGCGCTTTATAAATGGAATCTTGTTGTTGTTGTTGTTGTTGTTGTACGTCCTCATGAATTGTGAGGTATATGGGGTTCCATAGATATCATGTGTTGAGATGCCATTTACCCTACCATTTTCCTAACCAGTGCAGCCATTTATTGGTAATTAATATTTAGCTTGTGACATTTAGACATTAATGAATGCCAACACATGACAATATCAGGAGTTTTAGTTTAAAACTGTGGAAGTTATTGGGTTATGTACATATTTCAGAGTTTATTATCGGTGTTACCCTTCTTTATCATTTCTGTTAATAATCTTGACAAATAAGTTAAAATTAAAAGAAACAGTTAATCTATTTGCATTAGGAAAGATACAGAAAGGGGCAGCAAGGCTGATCTCAAGTGTAAAGGGAATGAGCTACAAAGAAAGATTAGAGAAATATAAATGATACAAACTGGCAAGACCGTGGTTAGAAGAGAATTTAATTGAGTCAGATACAATACAGAATAGACTGTGTAAAGTCAAACCGTGATTAGAGTAAGCCAAGAAAGTAGCACTTATATATTCAGAAACCACTAATAAATTTAGAATCGAGACAGATTTGTTTTGGTCAGATTGATACATGCGGAAACCCATCACCGTGCTTAAGAGTATCCAAACCAAATTAAAAATTCCATGCATCCCACCTAAACATGGAATTTCCAAAGATAGATTGTTGGAATGGAATGCGCACTCTCTCCCTGGAGGGACATCCTGCTTAACCAATTCCGCAAAGTATTAGATGCAGAAGAAACAAAAGGTCTTCACTCAGAGAATGAAAACTATTGAGAATAGTCTACCAACATACATTTTCTAAAACTTGCAGAAATCCTTCACAGTGATTACGAGTATCCAAACCAGACTGAGAGTTCCACATATGTATGTCACCTACACATGGGAATTTTCCTGTGACTGGAATGGAAAACACACTCTCTCCCTGCGGAGATGCATTCTGATTACCTAATTCTGGAAGACTTACATGCAGGTTGGCTAGAGCTAAGACTTGGAGACCACAGAGTGTGCATTAGGTTACTGCTGGAGTTTAACTAGCTAAAACTGCGTAACTTGCATAAAGCATGGTCCTTCCAAAGCCACACTAAACCTACCCTATCATATAGTTCACACCAACCTGCTTCATTAGTTGCTGAACTCCACAAGTAATAAAATGAAAGTTTAGAATACCCATCATCGCATCTGCATTATTCAAACCACACCCTGGCCCAGCCGCATATCTCTATAATCCTCCGATACTCAATCAGATATTAAGCTATTATTAAGACATTAAAATAATAAGTGAACTGAATAGTCAATTCTGTGAAGCTCTTTGAGATGTGAAAAGCGCTACATCACATGTAAGGATTGTTGTTATTATAGATATTTGTCCAGATCCTTGCTGAAGGAATTAATTGACAGAATAATGGTTTTACTTTTGAGAAATTTCAGGAGCTGAGCTTATAAATCAGAAAAGGTTTGCTCAGCTTTGAAAACTGCTGACTTCAGAGACTTAAAATGTTACACAGTCCAAAATCTGTGGACTTCAGGCAGTCACTGCACTGAGTGTGAGAATCACAACAGGGAGAGAGGGAACTGGAGCTCATTGGTGAGGAGCCAGCTACTACATTAACATGAAATAACAGAACTTGGGCTCAGATCTGAGGGTTTTCTGTCATCTGACTTTGGAATAATAAAGCAGTCACCAGTTCACAGTCATTGTGTTTCAAGCAGCCTGTTAGTGCCAGTTTTTTCAGTGAAACTGAAGAACATTGTTGGCTTTAAATCCTCCCTGCTCTCTTCCAGCTTCATCCTCCTGTCCAATCTCTCCATTCTTCAAAGTCAGGCCTGCTGCATGCACCATGCCATCCATGGTAAACCAGCAAAGTCCCATTTCTAATCATTCTCACCCTTCCATTCTGTCATGTACAGGGTGACCAAAAGCTATGATACCATTACAAATGTCTAATAAGTCTTAAAGCAATGATGATTGTTTTTTAGATAATAGGATAGAGATCATCATGCTTTGGTCACCCTGTAGTATGTACCGTGGCCCATGTGCAAGCAACAAAGACTGAAGGTTTAGACCTGAGGAGTTTACTTAGTTAGGGAAACCCGCTATTGTAACTTTCACTTCTAAAAACTTAAAAACATGTTCAAGAACATTAATCGTGGCAAGGTTAGTGAATATTGGCAACTTGCTGTAGTAATACTAGTTTCCTCGTGATGGCAGTACTGATTCATTAGAATTGTGCCCACAGCAGGACCTTGATCAAACAAGCACTTGGCAATGTTTCTGAGCTATTGCATTTTAAGTCACATTTACTCTTGGGTCCATTATTTTGCAATAGCTTTGTCAACGCACACAGTTCTCAAATAGACAGATGAAAGTGGTTTGGTCCACAGTAATCAATATATCTTTTAGAAAATATACTGAGTTTCACTGCAAAATAGGCTGATCATCAACCAAAAGAGAAACAAATGTTCTGGAGTATGAGCCTACATCAGAACCCATTCTAAGGAGAAATCTCAAGCCCAAAGCTGTCGTTCAGCTGCTGATAGTTTCCAACTTTTCCAGCAATTTGTTTCCAGATTCTTTTTCAGAATTTTCTGTTTTTTCGTTATCTTTCTAAATACTTCCACCCAAATGGACGTATCACTGGACAAACTAAATAGAATTACATAGAATGATACAGCATGGAAACAGGCCATTCAGCCCTACTGGTACTTGTTGGTATTTATGTTTCACACAAGCCCCCACCCCTCCTAATCTACTCATCTGTGCCATAGCAATTTCATGTATTTAGGAGCATCTAGCAGATGGATGATATTTTTAATGCGTTTTCACAGAGGAGCTGAGCAGAGGGAACACCTTCTGTCAATTCAGGAGGTAGAGTGCTGGCCTCCCAACCAGAGGCATAGGACAGCCTCCTGCACAGCTCTGAACTGGAGCAGCCAGATGGGGCAGAAGGAAGAATGGGATAGAATGAGAGTTAAAGCTAAGCACCTCAGCACAAGTGCATGACATGGTAGATAGACAATGGTGGAGTGCCAGTAATTAATACAAAGTAAACTGCAGACCTGACCATGTCTTATTGTTCCAGTTGAAGGGTAGTGCAGGGCGGAGAGCAACTCATTCAGGAAAACAGAGGATCCATAAACCTATGAGTTTGGGGAGGATAACTTGTTGGAAAATTCAGCTGGATTCTACCCAGTATCCTGAAAGTTCAATGGAAATTGTATCCACTCCTCTTATAGATTTCTGTTATGTCATCTTTACAAGTAGTGTACTGAGCAAGGAAACATGTAATGATTGAAAGGCTCAGGTGTACTAAGGAGAGAGAGAGTTCATGCAGACAACAATGGGTCTAGATTTCACCTGGGTCTAGATTTACTCTGTTTTCTTGGCATATCAACATGTTCAGAATTTGGCAAATCGTTAAGTTCATTCTTAACTTTGAAGTCATTTATTGTAGTTCCCGAAAGAACTTTTCTCTAGGGCAGACTCTGAGACAAATACCTGTTTGTAACCTCTTATTCCCATGCCTTGTTCTGGTGCAGGCTGCGTGGAGGTTCTACGCCACTAATCTCAACAGGACTGATCTGGGTGCCACCTGGAGATACTACGAGAGTGTTGTAACCGTTCCTTTCTTCAGGCATGTATGCCACTGCTCACTTCAGCTTTACAGAAATGCTGCATAACGTGCTGACTTTTATTTACTGTTTTGTTTTCTTTTCGTTTTCAATCCCTTTCCCAAATCTATGATTTATCTTAAAACTTCAGTGTGCATGGCACAATTATGCTGCTGATGAGAATTCAGTTTCCGTAGCCACGTGGAAGCCAGTTTTGAAGGCCTTGAATACCTGAAAAAGTAGGTACATGGGTCAGTAGTTTCCACTGTTTCATTACTGTTTTGTTCAATTTATGTTTTTCATGTTTGTCTAAATATTGTAATATAAATTTTAATCCAAATGAATTGACCATTCACCTCATGCCAGTCTGTGGGTACTAGTTTACCTACACAACAGTCACTACTCTGGATGGTTAATTTATTCTGAAGTCCCATGGTTGATTGTGAGACATTGTTGTGAGCAAATTGGTTGCTGCATTTGCCCATAAAACACATAGTCACATCACTTTACAGTATATTCTGTGAAATGCTTTTGGATGTCCTCCTAATGCGAAAGGCAGTATACCAAAAGCAAAGAGGTTATTATTATTGTTATGTGCTTCAAGACATTTCAATATTGTAAATGCAATAAAAATTAAGGTTCTTTATTTAATGATGTGACTAATCTTAATTTAAAAATAGCTTTGGATATATTGGACAAGAACTCTTATTGAAATAGTACAGAACACTCTCAAAGTGGAGAATTTAAAGCTGTATTTCCCCAGAATTAAAGAATCCTTTTCATGAAATTAGATGGAGCTGTTAGTTAGGTCAGATTTAAGAGACAGCTTCAAATATAACAATAATTTTTATTTTATGTATCTTGGTAGTTAAATAGAGAGTGACTTTTCTTACTGGAAAGCAATGACTTCATTAAAATACTGGGGGGGATCATGCCAATGTTTAATTACTGGAACAGTTATAGTGGAGTATCAGCAAATATAATAAGATCTCTTTAAAGAACCTTCAATGAAGTGTTCAACTCCATTCGAAGAGAAATTGCTTTGACTCGGGGTGAGGAGAGAGGTGGGTAGAAATGGACAATACTTTTCCAATATCTGAACAATGCAATTCACGTATTTAAGTCTGAGTTGTTGCTGGTAAGGAGTTGGTAGTCGTTTTCAGGAAATTAGTGATTGGGGTAAAATCTTACAGAAAATAATCTTATGTAAGGGCATTGGTTTAGCATTTGTCTGATTTCCCTGGTAACGTGTTATTTCCATATTCCCAGTTCACAGAAATGATGAAAGTAGCTGTCACCTTCATCATTAACATTAGATTTGAATACTAATGTGGTGTTTGTTCTGCATGATTCACCTCCAGCACAGAGTCGCTGAAAACAACAACTTGTCACACACATGGAGCTTGAAATTAGGTTCCTCTGTTTTCTTCCTTCTGTATTAGGCCCTTAGCTTTGTTTGAAGCAGTCCAGGGACTCAAATGTAATATCTGTTCATTATCACACATCCAGTCTCAGACTGTCACTACCGTTTGGTGGTACTAGATTCAGAATCAATTGTGATGTTTGAAAGGGACAGCGATAATAATAATTTTCATGTTTGATACCTTTCACACTGAAAGGTCACAAAGTACTTTGCAGAGAATTGCTATAAACTGTAGTGACTGTAATTGTAAGCAAACGCGGCAGCCAGTTTGCGCATGGCAGTGTCTCACAAACACAAAGTGAATGACCAATGTATTTGGAGGATTGTTGACCAGGACACTGGCAGTTTTTCAACCTGCCAGGGGATCTTTAAAGTCCACTTGAACAGGCAGACGGGACCTTAATTTACTGTCCCTTTCAAAAGGTAGATGGATAGATACTTGCGAAGTAAGGATACGAGAGGACATAGAAAAAAGGAAGGGAATGGGATTAAAAGTTCTGCCACTAAACTTTAGAACGAGCCAATTATTAAAAAACATGTCTGGGTCAGTCTGTTTGGTGGAATCAAATGTTGAGCATGAGTCAGGGTCACATGAACACATAGATCTGTGATTATCACTTTGCACTGGATAATATGAAATTTAAACCATGAATCAGCAAAAATAGGCCAGAAAAATAATAAAAGTAAAATAAAAGTTGATACTGATTCCTTATGGCAGTCTGTTAAGAAGGGCTGCAGTGACATCTTCTGTTTCTGCTCAGCCGTGACTTTTGAATTCAGTAAGTTAAATGCTTGGTCTGTCAGTGTAAACCCTAAGACTGAATAAGTACTAGAGTTATTGTGAGTGGCTCTTCAGCCGAAACAGGAATGGCCTTTCTTACGATACATGACATCCATCCCTTTAGATCGTATAGGAAACAAAAACTTCCAATTGGTTTCATATTTTGTTTTTTTCCATTTGAAAAATTTCTATTCTATTTCCAAACCTTCCAATGGTCCAATGGGAATTGAAATATGCTTTGGGATAGGTCGGCGTTTATGTTTTCAATTGCATTAATTTGCCTCTGCTTCCATTAGTGCTTGTTTTAAATAATTCATCTTATGTGTTGTGGTGGAGACTGTCTTGATATGTGTGATATGAAGTGATAATAATGTGCGGAATTTGTGAATCTGTACATAAGCCTCTCTTAGCCTTCTCCTCACTTAATAACAGGCACAGATAAGAGGAGTAATGTTGCCCTTGTTATATTCAAAATATGTTTAAAATAACTTTAAAAGTGATGATGAATATTTAACTATGATCATTAGAAAGATTGAAATGTACCTACTGATTAAACTCCTCAATTCTTTCTTATCTAAACCATCCAGATGCTGAGATGTTACGCTCAGACAGGAACACTGTCTGCTGCCTTTGTTCTCTCAGCTGATAGTTAAAGACCATCTGACTAATCTGCCATTGTGACTTGAAGGGTGAAACTTTGTTAAAGAAACAAATGTTTGTATGATGGGCTGGAATGTTTTTCCTCCAACTCTCTCTGATTTTCTACCCTCCTCGTCTTGATGGAACTGACCGCCTTTTCCTTACACACCGCACATAAACGCATATGCACACACACCACACGTACACACACACCACACACACACACAGGCACACACACCACACATACACACAGGCACACACACAGGCACACAGGCACACACACACCACACATACACACAGGCACACACACACCACACATACACACAGGCACACACACACCACACATACACACAGGCACACACACACCACACATACACACAGGCACACACACACCACACATACACACAGGCACACACACCACTCATACACACAGGCACACACACACCACAGATACACACAGACACACACACTAAACATACGACAACAACAACAAGATTACAGTTGTATAGCGCCTTTCACATCGGGAGGACGTCCCAAGGCGCTGGACAGTGTACAGCATTTCAGTCCCGAGCTCGGGGTGGGGGAAGGGGGGGAGGGGAAGTGGGGTGGCCGAGAGCAGGGTCAAAGAGGAGGGTATTGAGGCGGGACTTGAAGGAGGCTAAGGAGGGGGCGAGTTGGAGTGATTGGGGAATGGAAATCCAGCGGTTGGGGACAGAGTGGCTGAAAGCTCTCCCGCCAATGGTCGGGCGGGTGGGTTGGGGGACGTGGAGCAGGCCAGAGCTGGCTGAGCGGAGAGAACAGGTGGGTTGGTTGGGGATTAGGAGGTCGCAGAGATAGGGTGGGGCGAGGCCATGGAGGACTTTGTAGGTGAGCACCAGGATCTTGAACTGGATCCTCTGAAGCAGTCGGGCGAGAGTGGGGGAGATGGGGTCACGGAGTTTGGTGCGGGAGAGGATACGGGCTGCAGAGTTCTGGATTATCTGCAGCCTGTGGAGGGATGAGTTGGGAAGGCCGACAAGCAGGGCGTTTGCATAGTCGAGCCTGTAAGTGATGAAGGCATGAACAAGAGTTTCAGCGGCCTGAGGGGTGAGGTAGTGGCGGAGTCAGGCAATGTTACGGAGGTGAGGGAAGGCAGAGCGGGTCATGGCTTGGATGTGGGGAAGAAAAGACAATTGAGTGTCGAACAAGACACCTAGGTTCCTGACTGGCTTGGTGAATTGAAGTGTGCAACCATGGAGGTTGATGTTGCCAGAGCCTGAGGTGCAGAGGCACACACATGCGCACATACACGTAGGTACACACACAAGGGCACATCACCCACACACATCACACATACATATACATGCACACACACACACACACAAGGGCACATCACACACACACCAGATAGAACACATGCACACATACTACACACACACACACACAGATGAACAAGCTCCAATAACTGATTTTTTAGCCATTCCTAAAATTTTGGAGGCTGTAAAATGGTACAAAAATAGAGTAAATCTAGTCTCAAGAAGAATTCCTCCCCTACAGTCTCCCTTAAACAACCACTCCTGACCAGGAGAGATTGCATTAAGAGCTTGCAGCTTGTGCAATGGGTAGGCATAGACCTGCCTCTCTGAGCAACACCCTCTCAATTCCTAGAAAATGCACATTCACTGCACTTTACAATAATCCTGTGAGACAGACTTCCGACGTGAAAGGAGTGATACCAAATGCAAGAATTATTATTATTATTTCAGATCTAAAATGCTTTGTGATTACTCCACATAGGCACCATCCATAAACATAGGCATTACAGTCTTTGAGCAGCTTCATGCATGTTAAAACCTGTCTCCCAGCTTTGCCTCAGTTCTTCTTGTAACAAATGATAAATGGTACCTTCAATTCTCAATGATGCATCTCTAATGTGGAGATCACATAATGTTAATGAGAACCAACATAGACGGTACAAAAGTAATTGTGGTTTAACATCAAATGATGACTGTAAGTCAAGTTAGTCAATGAGAAAAATTACATTTTATTCTTCGATCAGTATTGCAGGTTCTGGTTAAAGATCAATGCATTTTAATGACGACTTTTTTNCTTCTTCCCCAAACCTAAAGAAAAGATCAAGCAGATGAAGCTGTCAGGTTGGTTGATATCTCTGTCTATTTGCATTCTTAAATTTTGATACTTGAAGATGCATTGAATCAGTTTAAGTGAATACTGCCTTGTTAATGTGCGTCGCTGTAGTTCAGAGACCGACTATTATTCTCTTTTAATTTTTAGTTAAAATTTAAATTGCGCCCACAGTTCAAATGGTAACACGGTTTCTTTATTAGAGCTGTATACATTCATGTAGAGAAAGAGAGGAGGAAGTAAATTTGTGGAATTAAGTATAGTGCTTTGTTCCAGAGACTGATTACAATAACAGATCTAAAATTTGACACTGAAGTGACAGTTCATCTTTCACCTGCTTCTCACGTCACTTCAATTTGCTCTCCTTTGTGTACATAGATTGTGTGATTTATCCTGGGTAATCTGTATATCCCCTAACATTACTTGTCGCATGTAACCAAGCTCTTTAACCTGGGTTAGCCTATTTAATTCTGCTTCTACTGTATCCTGATACTAAACTCACTAGATATTGTCAGTCAGTTCTTTGTCTTCTCCTTGAGTGCTGAAAATAGGCAATGCTTTTCTGAGGGACTGCTTTCCCTTTGTGACTTATGTCCACGTGAAAGTAATAGTAACTTCTATATTGATACCTCAAAGGAAATCATTGCAAATCTTATTTAAACAGGTTAGTGTCCCTCAATTAAATCTCTCATATACCACACCATTTCCCCCACTATGTCTGCGCTATGTACTCTGACCTGCTGCTAGGAGGCTTACAATAACCTAGGGCTAGTTCTCTCCAATGTTTGCTCCCTTTGAGGAAGTCATCTTTGTCACCTTATTCAAAACTCTGCCGCCCGCATTCTCACCCGCAACAAATTCCGTTCCCTGATTACCCCAGTCCTTGCCAGACTGCAATGGCTGCCTGTCCCAAAGAGGATCGACTTCAAGATCCTCACCCTTGTATTCAAATCCCTCCACTTCTCTGCACCCTCCTACCTCTCTGATCTCCTCTTTCCTCAAAACAGTGCCCGTTTCCTTCTTTCCTCCGGGTCTGGTCTCCTTCTTGTCCCCGAGTCCTCCGCCCCACCCTCGGCAGTCGTGCCTTCAGCCACTATGCCATGAGGCTCTGTCACTCCCTTCGCCTTGCCCCCTCTCTTCCTATTTTCAGGTCTCTGCTGAAGACCTTTCTTTTTGACCGCGCCTTTGGTCACCTTCCTCCCCATCCCCCTGGCTTGGCCCTGGGATCCATTACTGTGAAGCACTCTGAAACGCCGTCCGACGTGGAGGGCGCTGTATAAATCCAAGTTGTTGTTGTTGTTCCAGTGAGCACCTTCCTGTAGTAACGAAGCTGAGATCAGCAGCTTTGGTGCAGTTTGTTGATACCAATACCTTGTCACACCAACTCTGTAACAACAAGGGGGAAAATGCCATGTGTGATAATTATGGCTTGAACAGATCATACGGTTAAAATTGAAACGGGAGAGAGATTTTTTGAAAGTGGGGAGAAAATTAGCAAGGATTGTTTGAAAATCAATAAAATTGGACATTCACTTCATGGCTGTTTGTGGGACATTGCTGGGTGCAAAATGGCTGCTGAGTTTGTCTTCAAATATACAGTAACTACAATTCACAATACAATTCACAGTGAAGAGCTTTAAAATGTTTCAATGGCGTGATTAGATGCTATATCAAATACAAGGCACATTTTGTTGACCTCATCTGGTCATCCACCTCCAGGATTCTCTTGACCAAGTACAAAGTTTACCAAGTAGTAGCCAAAGGCATGGATCTGGAAGTATTTTTTTTGGAGATGGGAGAAAGAGAGAATAAATTAATACAAGTCTCATTGATCACAGATGGAGGAGACACCATACTAGAAAAATGTCTATATTTTTGAGATACGATAATTAAACCTGGAGCAATTGCTTATTTTGTCTGTTTCAGTCATCATGAACTTCTTTGAGGTCTGATTAACACTGGCAGGTGAGGAATTGCTATATCCCCTCTGATATTCAGAGGCAACTGTTTGCTAAGTATTCAAACAGTGGTCCAGTGGAGTGCTTTGAATTGCATAACTAACTGCTCACTGAATATTTGTTCAAACTGAATTAAATTGAGGTGACACCATGTCATTTTAAGAGAGTGTGTTGATGTTCCAACACTGTGCTGTGTACCCATGATCCCTCCGAGGCTACAATGCAGCCAATACACCCTGGGGATGCATGAAGCAGACGTCCGCTGCTTAACTGCTGAGGGGAGAGAGAACTGCGCAGGTCATTGCTCAGTCATTCCTACAGGTGGAGCCATACACATTGTTGCCCAAGACCCTGTTTAAACTACATGTTGGTAGTAAATACGACACAATAAATACAGTTTAAAACCATCCCATTTCCTTCATCCATGAAATCTCAATGAAAATTATAGTATTAGCACTAAAATCCCTTTGTGGTTCAGTTTGAAGATTAATCTGGTTTATTAATCTGGTTTATCACAGCTATCCAGAAGTTTTAATCAACGATTGGGACAGGTTGTTAGGAAAGATGATTGATGCCAGGACACTGGACTCATTTAAACAGCAGTTTGATGCTGGGGTGGGTGGACAGTAGGGTTGGTGGTCTGGATTACAAGGATCAATATCTAATTTGGAAAGTAAGGGTATCAAGAAGTATGGGGAAAGGAATGGAAATGGGATTAAAAGATCTGACTTGATTTAATAAACAGTCAGAGCAGACTTGGCAGCCTGAAATTTCTTCTCCTCATAGAATCATAGAATCGTACAGCACAAAAAGAGGCCATTCGACCCATCGAGTCTGTGCCGGCATTACTCTTTTGAAAAGAGCAATGTAATGTCAATCCCACTCCCCAGCCCTTTCCCCATAACCCTTCAGATCCGTCCTCCTCAAATACCCGTCTACCGCGTTTTTAAAAGTAATTTATCGAATCAGCCTCATCCACCCTTTCAGGCAAATGTACCAGATTCAAACAACTCGCTGCGTGAAAAGGTTTCTTCTCACATCCCTTCTGCTTCTTTTGGAGACCATTTTAAATGACCTTGAGTCACCAACACACCCACCAGTGGAAACAGTTTTTTCCCTTTCTAATCTATCAATTCCCCTCATGATTTTGAAGACCTCTATTAGGTCTCCTCGTAGCCTTTTCTGCTCCAATGAGAATAATCCAAGCCTCACTAGCCTTTCCTCATAATCAAGGTCCCTCATTCCTGGTACCATTCTTGTAAATCTTGGGCTTCTATCTTTCTTACAAGTCTTCCATGTGGCACTTTGTCAAATGTCCTTTGAAAGTTCATATAAACTACATCAACCGCACTACCTTTATCCACCCTCATTGAAAAATTCTATTAGATTTGTTAGACAAGATTTGCCTTTAACAAATCCGTGCTGGCTGTCCCTAATTAACCCATATTCTTCTAAATGAAGATTTATTCTGTCCCGGATTATAGTCTCCAGGAGTTTCCCCACTACTGATGTTAGGCTGACTGGCCTGTGGTTCCCAGGTTTATCCTTCTGTCCCTTTTTGTACAGGGGAGTCACATTGGCCACTCTCCAGTCCTCTTGCACCACCCATGTGTCCAACGATTTGAAAAATTGTAGCCAAAGCCTCCGCTATTTGTACCCTTGCATCCCATAGTAACCTTGGCTGCATCCCGTCCGGACCGGGCGACTTATCTACCTTCAGCCCAGTCAACCTTTTCAGTACTTCCTCTCCATTTATACTTATCCTATCCATTTCCTCTACCCTCTCCTCCGATACTGCGGCATTTGGTGCATCCACTTCTTTTGTGAAGACAGATGCAAAGTACTCATTCAGTACATCAGCCATGCCCGCTGCCTCTACAGTAAGATTTCTGCCTTGGTCCTTAGTTGGCCCCACCCTACCTTTGACTAATGTTTTTTTCTTGATATGTTTGTAAAATATTTTAGAATTCCCTTTAATGTTAACCGCTAATCTTTTTTTGTATAATCTTTTTGCCCCTCTTATTTCCTTTTTCTTCTGTACTTCCTATATTCTACTTAGTTATCTTCTGTATCTTGGGTTTGACATTTATCATACACCTCCTTTTTCTGCTTCATTCTAGATACAATTACCTTTGTCATCCACGGAAGTTTGGATGCCCTACTTTTCCCTTTTGTGGGAATGTATTTATTCTGTCCCCGAGCTATCTCATCCTTGAAGATTTCCCACTGCTCTTTAGTTGTTTTACCTGCCAATCTTTCTTTCCAGTCCACCTTGGCTAGGTCCCTTTTTAACTCACTGAAATTTGCCCTCTTCCAGTTGAGTATCTTCACCTTAGATGGTTCCTTGTCTCTTTCCATATGCACTTTGAATCTAATGATGTTATGATCACTATTGCCCAGATGCTCTCCCACTTAAACCTGCTCCATTTGCCCTACTTCATTCCCCAGAACTAGATCCAGCACTGCTTCCTTCCTCGTTGGGCTGGAAACATACTGATCAAGAAAGTTGTCCTGTATGCATTTTAGGAATCTTTCCCCTTCCTTACCCTTTGTGCTGTTGTTTTGCCAGTCTATGTTGGGATAATTAAAGTCCTCCATTATCATGACTCTATTGGCCTTGCATCTGTTTGAGATCTGCTTGCAGATCTGCTCATCTATTTCCTTCCCACTATTTGGTGGTCTATACTATACCCCTACCAGCATAACAGGTCCCTTTTTGTTCCTTAACTCTAACCAGATAGATTCCGTTTTGGGGCCCTCCAGCACCTCGACCCTTTCCACGGCTATAACTGTATCCTTGATTAAATTGTCAGCCCCCCCTCCTTTTTTTCCTTCCCTATCCCTCCTGAATACATTATAGCCAGGAATATTCAGCTCCCATTCCTGTCCTTGTTTGAGTCATGTTCTTAAGTATTCTACGGTTGGTGTTAGGTTTGATAATTAAGTGAAATTATGTGTTTTAGAATTATGACATGACATTTGCAACATTACATGATGAGTTTGATGGGATCACATTGAACTTATTATGAAATGTTGCATATTTCACCCCACATATGAATGATTTTGTCCTCCCCCATTATGGCAAATCATATTGCCTTATACTAAGCTGAAGATAAACCGATATTAACAGATAAAATAATGAGCTAAAATTGACCCAAACTGAATGCTAAGTTGGCTGTGCATTTAAATAAAAGCTCACAAATTTATGTCTATGTGGAAATAATGAATTTCTCTCTCATTTTACAATAAATATACACTTAGTAAGCAATCAATCTAAAGACCAAATCTCTGTCTGTCTATAGCTGTCTATCTGCTGTAGCTATTACTTGTTAGGCTTTTGTTTTGCTTCTAATATGTCAATTTGTTTGTTTTTTTTAAAAAAAGTTTTAGTTCATTAATCAAATTAAAAAAATTACAATTCTCCGGCTAGACAATATTCCTGTGTAATGATTTATATTCTCCAAGTCTCCCTAATTCTGATATGCGACGTCACCTTCAAAGGAGGAGAGCAGGTTTTTAATTTGCATGTCATGAAAGATTTATTTGAGGTTTTTAGTAAATTCTTTCTATTAACCTGAACTAGGAAAACACAGGCAAATGAGGGTCTGGAATCCTCTCACAATGTAGGTGATGCTTTGATTTGAGACGAGGGAGAGATATCAGCATGGTAAATGGTCTCTTGGTGTCTTTGACCCTGACCTCTGATCTTCTCCCAGGAAACGTACAACCGTAACTAAGCACATTAGGTCTAAAAAGTAGTTAAGGCTGTCCAATTCAGAGGAGTTTAGATACAATATTGGTGCTGAAACATATTGCCTTTGAAGTGCAAACAAGTCAACAGAGTCAAGAGAATTTGGCCAGTTGTTATTTCATTCAGCTGGAGTGCGGATCGACTGACTTGATGTGAAATATTGCATTGACACTGTTTTTCTATATAGCATTGGTAGTTCCTTACCCTATTCATATTTAATGGGAGCTCCTTCTATAGAAACATAGGAATCCTCTCCACAGCTTCCAAAAACTCTCATCAAGTATAGCACCTGTAAACTTTCTGAGAACTTTGAGAACTGGTGTGAGATATAAATGATTAAACAAACACATTGAAAGCATTCCACTGGAATTGTTTTTTGTTACAGCCAGAAGCTGAGCCTTTTTGATCGTGTTCGTATCGCTGGACCCAAGGGCCCCAATGTTAAAAGCAAGGTGTTAATACCTTTGAATGCAGACGCAGTGGAGGACAGTCCTTCTAAAGACCAGAAGACGTTGAGCTTCAATGAGATTCGAGCTGCGGTTCGAAATCGAGGATTTGGCTTCAAGCATAGCTCAGAAGGTACTTCAGTACCAGATTTTCTAATAGAATGATGTTTGTGCAGTCTGTCATTGAATTACATTATCCTGAGACCAGGGGATATGATCTTACAATTAAGGGGGAAGTACATTCTACTGAATTATACACAATGTAACAGGAGATACTGTTGACCAATTGACTTCCCTTGGTCACCACTGGGTACTTAGTCCAATACTTCATAACTGCTAGTCAGAGGTAGCCTTGGGTGATGAGATAATTATCACTGGTGTCTATTATTAAATCATCAGATATTCTGCTCCTGGTGATATCCCAGTTAATGTCTGCAGCAGGTGCAGCTCAAACCCACCCCTTTTCTGACTTTGTTCAAATGGTTTCACCCATAAGCCAGTTACTTCAGCACTTGAGCCAGCCAGTGGCTTAGGTTGATCTAAGATGGTGTTCCTGACTGGTCCTGAAATGTTACATTGCACTATGAAATGCTGAAATGCCATTTGCCACTTCAGAGATTGTCTGCTCTGAAGACATGTCCACTGAGACCGTGAATGGGTCCAACGATTTCTGGAAGTGAATCTCTCATATATTAATTTCTGTACGTTATTCAGATGCCGTTCCTGAGGTAGATCAAGTGTCCGAGGACAAAGGTTACCAAGCTGAAGTCATGGATGAGTTGATCCCTACAATGAAGACAACTGTGAGGGCTATGAGGTGGGACCTCCTGCAGTAGTGGAGAAACAAGAGTTTTTAATACCCTTCACTCTTTTTATAGACTGGGCCAACTTTGTTGGCCAATACACCAGAGGAAACTTCCTTCTCTTTGAAAAGTGTCATTGATTCTTTAGTGTCCATCTGAAGAGACAGACTGGATCTCGGGCTAATGTTTCATCTAAAAGTTGGAACCTGGGACAATACACTGCACTGCACTGGAGTGTCAGCCTGGACAATGAGTTCAAAATTCTGATGAGGGACTTGAACCCACATCTTCTGATCCAGACGAGAGAGTGATACAAACTGAGCAAGAAGGATACTTATCCATGGCACTATTTGAAAAGAGAAGGAAGTTTCTCCTGGTATCCAATAATCCTTCAGGTAAAATTGGCCATTCAATTCATGGCCGTTTGTGTGACATTGATGTGTGCAAATTGGCTTACAAACAAAATTTATGAATTGCTCAATATATCAAAAGCAAGCTTTATTATTACCAGAGTCAATTTGGAGAAGTAGAGCAGCTCAGGCTTCCATAGCTGTGGATTCCTGTTCATGAAAGATTAGAAAGAAATGCACTATTTGGTTACCTGTGACCTAGATTAGGAATCACATAGCATGCAAGATTGAACAAACTTGCTTGGCTTTTGTACCATATTGCTGAAATGCCCACAGTGTTCACTCGAATGGGAAAAGATCTGATTGAAATGCGAAATCCATAGGAGTATCAATTTCTTCCTGCTTTATGGATGTTTAATTTAAGGAAGGCCAAAAAATGAAGAAATGCAGAGAAAGAGTGCATCTGAGAACCTGTGAACATGTTTACAACAATCAAATGGCCTACAGTAAAGGTTGTCTTGGCTTTTAAAGGTTGGAAATGAAAGGCCGGATGTGGTTTCATTATTCAAGGAAAAGAACCACTGAAACATGCTCCTTGCTTCTTTGGTTGCAGTGTGTATTTCATCCTAACAAAGATCTACTTATGGTGCTTTATTTCAGTGATAAAGTTCATCTTTGATTTGCCAGCAGCTTTCCTTTCTTGGCTTCTTAACACTAGCAGAAAAATGCCTAACCTATCCAGTCTATCCTAGAAGCAGTAATCTGCCATTTGAATAATAATTTCCATTTGATACTTCGTCAAATGTAAGGGTTATTATTATTACAATGAATACAACAATGCTCATTATTGAGATTGTTAAAAAAAAATTCTTGTAGTCTTTGCTTTTTTTCATTGTTATAGTTTTAAGTCAGCACCCCTGATCTCCCAAGTCAATATATCTTATCTGGACCATTCAATGTCACCGAAGCAAATAACAACACAACAGAAATTAATGTTGGTGAATGGTGCCCGGATTACACTTTCACTGTTCTTGAATGTTATTAAATAATCATCGAACGTTTACAGCACAGAAGGAGGTCATTCAGCCAATTGTTCCACCTCTCCACTGGAGCTAGCTGCGCTAATGTAATTTTTTTTGTCTTCCCAACCCCATACCATTGGAGTGTGTCAGCATGGCCGTGTGTCAGTGTGTCAGAGCACTCTAGCCTCTGAATCAAAAGGTTGTGGATTCAAATCCCACGTTGAGACTTGAATTCACATTAGTCAAAGCTGATACTCCAGCGCTGGGGGTGTATTCCATTAACAGAGGTGCCGTCCTTCAGATTAGATGTTAAACTGAGGTCTTGTCTGCCTGTTCAGGTGGACATTAAAGATCCCATGACACTATTCGAAAAGAGAAGGGGGTTTCTCCCCTGGTGTACTGACCAATAATCCTCCAAATAAAATTGGTCATGGCTGTTTGTGGGACATTGCTGTGTGCAACTGCCTACAAATACAGTCACTCCATTACACAGTACATCCTGTGAGGCATTTTGAGACATCCTTTCGACATGATAAAGCTCTCTTCCAAACGCAAGGATTATATTATTATTAAATGCAAGGAATACTATTATTTAAAATTATTTTACCTCAAATATTAATCTATTTTCTTTTAAATGTAATCATAGGTTCAGCTTCAGGTTAGTATTGTAGCACTGAAGTTATGTACAAGTAGTGTTTTCAATTAATATTAATATTATGCTGCATTTATCCTACATTTACAGTGGCCACATGCTGACTTGTACCAAATATGCATTATATTGCGACTGGGGCTGCACAAATTGCTTGGGAGCCATTACTGCTGCCACTGTTAGGAGGAGGTGGGGACAGGAGCATCCACCCAGTGAAAATGCAGTGGGTGCCAATCAAGTTATGTTTGTTACCCTGTGCTACGTTCAAAGCTGTTGGCCCTTCAAACATCAATTGTTTTTTTTCAGGCTCAGATTTGATGTGATGTGAAGAGGCAAGCATGAAGCAGGCTTTCCTCTTCACAGTGCTGTACCCGAAGAGGCTTAGCTCCTGGCAGGATAAATACAGCATAAGATGACACATCTTGCACATTGTGCTCTATTAACAGTGAAGTGACTGTAGATGCCTGGTGATTGTGTGATTGCTGCCACTCGAGTTAGTCGATGAGACATTAAAACTATTTCCTTTATCTCTTCAGCATATTGAAATTCTTCCTCAACAAGAAAAAATTCAAGGAGACTTTACGGCCATACGATGTGAAAGATGTTATTGAACAATACTCAGCAGGACATTTAGACATGCTCTCAAGAATAAAATACCTCCAGTCAAGGCAAGTGAGAAACAAAACATACAAAGGAAAATCAAACACCTCCTCAAATACTGCATGAGTCATTTGTGTTTCAAGGCTGAGGAGCTCAAAAGAGCAAGTGTGCAAAAACTCCTACATCATTTGCCAAAGGGCCCTCAGTACATTATGAATCCATGGTCTTGTAGCAAGCATTCTGTTGGGCCATTTTTGTCTGAAATGTTATACTGTACATTAAAATGGATTTGAGATGTGCTGACATTTTTCTTTTTGAACGTGTACATATCAGTTATCTCAACATTTTGGAGATCAATTGTATGTTCGTTTAACAAGGAGAATTGATGAAGGTTGCATGTGGCTTTGATTAGTGTTCCAGTGAAGTTCACGGTGGAATGATATGAAGAGCAGGCTGATGAGAGGATGAAGTGCTAGAACATTGACTGGTGGGATTCGGGAGGTAAAATTCCACTGTCAGAGGTAATGGCAGCGGCATAGTACAATGTTTTTAATTGAAGTGCTAATTATGGTCTTTAACACATGCTGCTGTACTATGCATATATGGAATTCTGGTCTGGATACTATTAAGCAACAACAACAAAATTACATTTGTTCAGTGCCTTTCACATCGGGAGGCTGTCCCAAAGTGCTGGGCATTCAGTGCTTTGGACCCGAGCTGGGGATTGGGATTAGGGAGGGTGATCAAAAGCATGGTCGAAGAGGAGGGTCTTGAGATGGGTCTTGAAGGAGGCAAGGTAGGGGGCGAGGTGGAGGGACTGCAAGATGGAGTTCCAGTGCGTGGGGGCAGTGAGTCCGAAGGCCTGTCTGCCAATGGTGGGGTGGGCAAGGTGGGGAATGTGAAGCAGGCCGGAGCCCGGTGAGTGGACGAAGTGGGCAGGATGGTAGGGGTTCAGGAGGTCGCAGAGGTAGGGGGGAGGTCTTTGAATGTGAGGACCAGGATCTTGAATTATATCCTCTGTGTGATGGGAAGCCAGTGAAGTGGGCAGGGTGGGGTGATAGGGTCACGGAACCTGGTGCGGGAAAGGAGCCAGTCTGCAGAGTTCTGGATGATCTGCAACCTATGGAGGGAGGAGTTGGGGAGGCCGACTAACAAGGAGTTTGCATAATCAAGCCTAGATGTTATGAATGTGCATATTAGTGTTTCGGCAGCCTGCAGTGTGAGACAGTGGTGGAGCTGGGCTATGTTGCGGAGGTGGGGCAAGCCAGAGCGGGTCATGGCATGTATGTGGGGTAGAAAGGATAGTTGAAGGTCAAACAAGACTCCAAGGTTCCGGACTGACTTAGTAAGGTGGAGTGTGCATCTATGGATGATGATACTGTCAGCGCCTGAGGTGAGAAGGTGCTGACAGGAGCCAATCAGGAGAGCCTCGGTCTTGTTGATGTTCAAGTAAAGAAAGTTAGCTCTCTTCCTGGATTTGATGTCTGACAGACATTCTGTCAGGACAGCAGTGGTCCTGAAGTCAAGGAGGCAGAGCAGTACAGTTGGGTGTTATCCGCATACAAGTTGAACTCATGTCTGCGGATGATGTCACCAAGCGTGAGCACATAGATATTGAAGAGGAGGGGACCATGGACAAAGCCCTGAGGAACATCGCACAAGACGGTGCGGGGGCTAAAGGAGAAACCATTTGTGGAAATGAAGTGGAGGCGGTGTGAGAAGTATGATCTGAACCATTCAAGGACAGAACCATGAAAGTTGAGGTGAGATGAGAAGTGGTGCATGAGAATAGTGGTCAACGGTGTCGAAGGCAGCAGAGAGGTCAAGGAGGATGAGGAGGCAGATGGAGCCCTGGTCGCAGATGGACAGAATGTCATTTGTCACTTTGACTAGGGCTGTTTTTGTGCTGTGGGCGGCACGGAAACCTGATTGCAGGGGTTTGTGAAGGGAGTGGTGGGAGTGAAAGGAGCGAAGCTGGGAAGCAAAGACTCGTTCCAGGACCTTGGAGAGAAAAGGGAGGTTGGAGATGGGGTGGTAGTTTGAGAGCAGGAATGGGTCCAGGGAGGGCTTTTTAGGATAGGAATGATGGGACAGGGGTGGGAATGGTACCAGAGGTCAGGGAGAGGTTTTGATGTCTGTGAGTAGAGGGCAAGAAGGTGGAGCTAGGAGGTAAGAAGAGGGGTAGGGATGGGGTCGAAGGAGGGGTGATCGGTTTCACGCGGGTTATCGTGGTGATAAGAGAGGACTGGGAGACAGGTTCGAAGGTGTGGAGGGAGGGATGGGCATAGATTTCCAAATGGCCACAAAAAAAGGAATTAGGCCCTATTATTTGTAGCAGATATTGAAATTAATGATTGGTTTGAACCAGTTCATATTATGTTGAAACTTAACTGGATACCTCAAAGATAGTGTTTGGCTTAATTCCATAAATGCTGAGTTTAGTACAGGTGTGTTAAATTCACTCCAGTCTAGATCAGATGTTTAATGGCAACTACCCTGAGAGGCAACTGTTCTGTCAGAGGTCATGTTATTTACATATAACCAATAGGCCAATTTCAAAAACTCTTGAGACTATCATAAAAAGGCATTACTTTGTGATGTTGTCCATTGAACTTGAAACTGTAAGGGCAGCCTTGTCTGTTATGATGAAGCTCACTGTAGCATTCAATCTGTTTGGATCCAGTTCATTTCAAAGCACTTGCGGGTGATTTAGGAGGATTTAGTTGTGCTCATGGTCAATCATTGAGAACTCTCTTTATTCCAATGAACAACCTAAATAGACAATGATTGTCCATATGGTATGCTAAGGGAAAGATTTTGCATGTTAGCTACTATTATCCTGGTTCTGCAAATGATAACCTCAGGTTTTAAGGAAGAAGTGTGGTCTATGCTGTAATTCCCAGTCGATTGTGGGATTAGAACACAATGCATGAGCTACGGTACTTGAGTTGTCATCGAAGATAGCTTTGGGTATGAAAGCAAAGATCTCTTGGGAGATGCTTTACAGTATCATCCCATCAAAGTCATTTCCAGCCTCGATAACTTTTCATTTCACTAAGGTTCTGCATGTGGCAGTTGCGAGTAACACAACATACTTAAGATGTAACATTGGTCATGTGCTACATAGAACATTTACACTAATGTTTACGTTTAATATGAAGGAGACCATTTGACCCATTATGGTCAAAGGTCTTAAACCACACCACGTGCTGACTTCAAAAGCCTCATCTACTGCACACACCACAGCCTTTGTTTGAGATTTCAGCAAGTACTGAATCATAAGCAGTTTTTTGTATTCTGGACATGAGCCAGTGAAGAATATGGTTGTGTCTATCTCATTTCATACAAAGTTAGAGACTTTCTTCTCATTAGACTGGGCTGAATTCAAACTCAGATCCAGACCTGAAAAGATAAGGTGATTAAGCTACTGTACCATCCATATCTCCAGGGTTGCAACCTCCTGACATTTCAGCAAGTAAACTAATGTGGTTATGAAAGCTTGAATGTCTGTCACTCCGTGAAGAAAACAAGATCTGCTTTTAATTGAGACTGCTGCAGCTGCTTTGTAAATATTAATAATTCTATTATGCTTTTCTATCTATGTGCCAGAATTTACTGTATGCTGCTGAATTGCAATTGGGATTTACAAAGCACTGATCTGGCCCCATCTTGTATTCAGTTCCGGTTGTTGTATCAGATTAGGGACATGCTGGTACCAGAAAAGGTACAGTGACAAGTGACTCCATTGAGTCTGAGAATAGGTAACTAAATTACAAGGTGAGAAAGCAGAAAGCTTTTAGAAACTTCCTGGATCCTAAACAGTGTATATGATCTGAACCCCAATCATATGATCTGAACTCCAGTAATATGATCTGAACTCCAATAATATGACCTGAACGCCAATAACATGCTTCATTGCAGCCTTGAACTCAGAAGGGGGATTGGTGGATAGACTTTTAGGTCGAACTATGTGGAACAATTTGCCCAGAAGCAGCAGAGGTGGATAATGTTGTCAATAATTTGAAAAGAGAATTAGATAGGAAGTAGGGACAGGAGAATATGAGAAATAGCAGCCAATTGTATATTTGAAAATGGGTTATGGCCAGACAGATGATAATGGTATTTTTCTATCACATATAAAGAGCTCAATAGCTGAAAATACTGCATTTTCAAATTTACAAAATGGATTTTAACATTTTCTCCTTATTCACTTCTTCCAGGATAGATTTGATTCTTGCTCCTCCATTTCCATCAACTCCCAAGCAAAAGAAAATCAACTTAAAAGGAGGTTTTGTATACCCTTCACAGCAAGGGTAAGGCACAAATACATATTTTATATGACCCATGCTTACTTCTGTGCCAGATGTTTAGAATGCTATACAACAAGTGGTGCAGAGATTCTATGAAAACATTTGTACAGTTCACAGAGGGCAGAGAAGCATGTATTTGTACTGGTGTTTGCTGGAGTGAGACAGTGATGATTCTAGGAAGTAATGTTGTGATTCAGTTGCAGGAGTGTAGTAAATTAAAAACAACTTTTACAGTTTAATCACCAATGAAAAAAGCCTGCAATTCATAAGCGCAATGACATTTCTTCCATCCAAAAGCAGCTCTGAATATTTATAATTTTGTACCCATTAAAACCAGCAAATTTATTGAGTAGCTTTGTACCATAAAGAGCGAGTCCAGCAGCACTCCTGGCTGCTTATAGTTTAATCAACAAAATATTGTCCAAACTGTGACAACTGAAAGTGAAGTAATTTAGAGCTCCATTAAAGAGAAACTATATCTGTCTAAATACGATCAACTTTAAAAATTATCCTTGCATTTAATATAATTTCTATAACATTGACCTATGTCAAAGCTCTTTGGGTAGTTGCTCTCATGTGTGATGACTGTGTATTTGCATTTGCAGTCAAACATAACAAACAATTTGCACACAGCAAGCTGCCACAAACAGCCGTGAAGTGAATGTCCCACATATCTGGAGGATTATTGGCCAGAGCACTGGGAAAAACTACCTTATTTTTTACAAATAGTGTCACAGGATCTATAACAGTGGAGACCCGTAGCTCAGTGGTTAGAGCACTCGCTTTTCAAGGAGAGACCTAGTTTTGATTCCCGGTAGGGCGAAACCTTGGGCAAGTTTCCTTATTCCACACGCCTGATAATAATCCCTCAAGAAATAAAACAATAATAAATTGGTCACTTCAATCCACGACTGTTTGTGGGACATTGCTGTGCGCAATTGGCTGCTGTGTTCGCCCACAAATATATAATCAATTCACTTTACTGTATATTCTGTGAAGCGCTTTGGGATGTCTAGAAGACGTGAAAAGCGTTAAATCAAATGCAAGAATTATTATTGTTATAACAACCAGGCTTAATACTGCTTAATGCTAAATACTGGAGAGTCAGCTGGACAATTAATTTGAATCCCAATATGGGACTTGGACCAACAATCTTCTGACCCAGAAGTGAGGAGGCTACCAGCTGAATCAATCTGACAGTCAATCTCATACCTATCAATTATTAAGGATGAATCCCAAACCAAATAAAGCCAAATTAAGCATTCAAATGGATACAAAGTGAAAACAATTCTGCTAAATCTGAATATTTGACCTTTCTCTACCTTTTGAAACAAAATATCTGTGATGCATCTTGATCCCTCTCAGCAACTAGACATACCTACTCAAATTTTGATATAGTGCCTATCACATCATCAAGATGTCTCAAATCACTTTACAAGATCTTAACGTGAAATGTAAAGATTGTGTGATTTGTGAGTGAATTCAAATGATGCATGTAAATGATAAAAAGGTACATTTACTCTTAGAACTATTTTTGCCAAGCACTGTTAACACAAACTTAGATTTCACTCTGTAAAATAATCAGATCTACAGCTATGATATGCTCTGATTATATTGGATATATTTGTGTAATTTGCCAACCATTGTAAGCCGTTCATAGACTTTCTCCCATGTATTGCCCACCAGAATTGATCCTGATACAGCCAAAGGTTCTGGCAGAGAGACTGAAGACCAAAGTATGATGGGAAGATTTGTTAAGTTTGAAAGACAGGTATTACTTCAAATTATACCCTCAGAAACAAGTAGATCTGTATGGCTCTGAAATGGATGAAGCATTTCAAAGCTCTCTCTTGGGTAAAACACTAATGACAGAGGTCTGCTGTTATAATCTTTGAGGACACTATGATGGCTCGTTTTAAGATTAACAACAGTATCAATTTGTGTCAGAACTTCAATTGAGAGATCACTCAAGCTTGTCTATGTTGGAAAATATATGATTTTGTTGCATGATGATTTAGTCATGCTCTGTCTCCTGCTAATTGTTTTATTACAATATATTTGCCATCCTTAAATTGATCATATCATCTTTGCTCCTTCGCAGGTACACGTTATGGAGAAAAAGATTGACTTCCTTGTGGACATGCACATTCAGCATATGAATACCGAGCAGTCTGGGTCAGCTGGATACTATTCAACAAAAGGGGCAAGGATCTCTGTTCACCAAAGTTCAAGTGAAGACAAGGTGGAAGACAAATACTTGGAGATCAAAAAAGTCATCTCAAACTATTCTGAGTCTTGCAACTACATGGCACCTGAAAATGCTTATCAAGTCCCAGTTGGTTCTGTTGCTCCTTTTGGTTTACTCACAAATCCAGGAAAGTTTTCAACTTTGGCTGCTGATTTAATGAGGTTGCCTCCACCCCCGGCCCCATCATATACCGAGAGACCCTCTGTTCTACCCATAAGTTCATTAACAGACTTGCAGGGTAATGCATCCCTCAGCTGCCATGGAAGAGAAACAATTCCTTTCGCTGAAAATGTATCACCAATACAGGGGAGAAATACAAGAGACAGTGACACTCCAATTTCCCTCCCTTCAGTAAACCACGAGGAACTGGAACGATCCCCCAGTGGATTCAGTATCTCCCAGTCAAAAGATGATTTGACTTTTGGTTTCAATGAGAGCTGGCCAAAATCCAAAGTACATTTAGCAGAGGCTGAAACAGATACTGATACTGACCCTTACACTCCATGTGGTTCTGCTCCTCTGTCTTCTACAGCAGAGGGACTTAACGACAATATATGGTCCACATCGAATAAACCAACTTAGCAGAGTCACTGGTTGACCTCTATGTGTACAGTCACTTTAAAGACTCCACCTTTCTTGCTTCATACGAAGCATCCAAAGCTTATTGTTACAATGTGTTTCACTGATAAATTCTGCACGTGATGCATGGAAGTAGTGCTAGAAACTGTTAATACTGTTTTCAATATTCCAAAAACAATTTTTTTCATAAATAAATAAAACTGCAAAATTTTGCATGTTTTGTGCATGGTTTCCAAAATATCAACAAAGAAGCCAAATTTCCTCTGGTTTACTGTACAGCACTAATGTAATTTTAATCCCTACATTATCTGTGGGTTAGAATCTATGCAGAAAGTTACTAAATACAGTTCTTTTAACAATGCTTTAACCTGTAAATGAATTCTTAAAGATACCATATCCCTTTGATTAGCCTAACAAGGTGGGATTTGGTAAAAGTTTTGTTACACATATGCTCTAAAGAGATCAATATGAGGCACTAGCCAACAATTTTTATGTCTTTAGCATTCTTATCCCTGGACGTGCAATTCTAAAGATAATTTGTCAAAATGAATTGAATACTGAATGCATCATCTAATTAAATGGTCTTCATGATTTATCTCTTTGACTACGCTTTTGGTCATCTTGCCCCTCCACACTAGTTTTGATTCCCACCCCCAGCTCGAGTGCCCAGTCAGCAGTGTCAAGCACTTTGAGACATCCTCCCTACATGAAAGACTCTGTATAAATCTAAGTTGTATTGCATTCATACATGTATAGAAATCTTTCCCAACTCAGTGGCCCAAAATTTCACTTACCTATAAAGCTGTTTTGTCTTAACATTTTAGATCATGCCAAATTGTGGCAAGTTCAACATTATTTTGGGATCCTTTGTTATTTCAGTTCTTAAAAAGAGTCATTGACCAAATAAATTAAGACTGAATTTAAGAATTTTACACAGTTCTACGCAATTTATAATATTAACACTAAATTATCCTACACACTAGGCGGGATATGTGACCTCCATGACATATACAAACTACCAACCATACAGTGAAGCAGGCACAGGAAAGAGGTTGACAGAGTACGGAAAGTAAGGATATCATCTCACCATTGGGCATATACCAATTCAATGTTGTATATAGTTTATCACTATGCCTATTTTGTCTAAATTCACTTTATTATTTCATCCTAAATATGCTTTCAGAATGTTTTGCACCATGTTAAAGTCCACTTACATTGACAGATATCTTGAATGCCGGGCATAGATTTCTGTTGTTGTGTGATATGAAGCTTCTTGCATGGTGTTTTGGGTGAGGAGAGGACAGTTGAGACAGGCACCACTCCATTGCTGGAACACCAACAAGGTGGTATTTTATAAACAAAAGTGTAGTCCATGTGCCTACTTTGAGGGTGTAGAATAGCATTGTTTTCAGGAGATATGTTTGCAAACACATTATGAAATTACTTATATTTCAATGCCAAATAGTATATTCTAGATCTTAAAAAGTGCTTGATATTTAGCAGGAGCACAGCTGGAAAGTGATCTACAGAGTACTGGCTGGTTTGCAAAGTAATAGAGATGTCATAGCCTAATTCAGCGTTGTTAAGTTACATAAAGGATTTCACTTAATGGGGTCTAATGTGTGATATTCGTTAACTAGATTTGTGGTATTAATTATCGCTGCTGATTCGTGATTTTTGGGTTTGCAGTGAAAATCCTGAATCAGTAAATTTGATAAAAAGCCAGCAAGCAAAATGAACACTGTGTCCCATTGTTGTATTTGCTCACTGGACTGCTTTAGACCTTGTCCACTAGGGAACCACAATTTGCTGGCTGCTCCAACACTAGAATAGCTGTCCTACACTTACCTCATTTATTCTATTCATCAATTTAAAGACCTGGATCATTTCATCCATCAATATGTTTTCTATTAAGAGCTTATTCAGCTCTACAAACCTATCTCGATAAACTATAGATCCAACTCCTGATATCAGCCTGACTTAGTTGGTAGTACTTTCATCTTTGTGAGTTCTGTCATATCGGGACATAGAACTATACATAACTATACATAACTATACAAGTATAGTCTATGCTCACACTCCAATGCAGTGCTGGGTGTATGCTGCATTGTTCGAGGTGTCGTCCTTCGGATGAGATGTTAACACAAGGTCCAGTCTGCCTGTTCAGGTGGATGTTAAAGATTCCATGGCACTATTTACAAAGAGAAGGGAGTTTCTCTCATTGTCCTGGGAAACAAACCCCCAGATAAAATCAATCGTTCACTTCATGGCTATTTGTGGGCTGTTGTTGTTCCTAAATTAGCTGCCGCATTTGCCTACTACATGTCATTGCATATTGCATATTGGCAGAGAACGTTGGAATAGTTTGTATCACACACAGAAATACAACAAAAGCAACTTGCATTTATATAGCGCCCTTCGCGAAGGGCAGGGTCTTGGAGCACTCTAATCGATGCCACAAGGGTTGTATCAGACATGTTATATAATGCCATTAAAGAGTTCCAGTTGCACTTATTTGTTAAAACAGTTTATTACACAGTGGTGGCCCATCCACTTGTCATAGCATAAAATCATCATATATTCATGTTGTGTATAGTTCAAACAAGTTTCTGAAAACTCATTGCATCCATCTCTCCTGAGATATGATAGCACATTTACTTGATTTGGTTTCAGTTCTTTTATAAATATACCACAACCTTGGTATCTTAGTTTTTCAAATATTAGAGCAACTTGCAGCTGCAACATATATCAAAGCTTTACTAAAATATTCTCTAGTCGTCACCTTCCAACATTGTATAGCACTCATAATAATCCCATTCCATTAAGCAAATCCAGTATATTGTTTGGAAGAAGAGGGGAAAACCAAAATATTCTGAGAATGGAAATAGAATCATATTTGCATGAGATTGCATGCCTGTAGCATCTCTGGGAGGTATTCTGCTCCTGGGTCCCATGGAAGGAATGCATTGATTTGGGCTACTTACTATTCTGCCCTATTTGATAAATTTTGCCGATTTGTCCTTTTGCTCTTGTAAAGAAAGGAAATGGAATTTTATATTATAAATCATATAGCATTATAAATGTAAATGGATACCATGGTTTTAAAATTGCATTACGTTTATTTAACAGGGCAGGTGGGTACATTTGCTAATTTTACTGAAGGAATCAGAACAGCTCTTTAGCCTACATCAATTATTACACTGCACGGAGTCTTTCCATGGGTTTTACCGTTATTTGTCTTGGTACATATACATCAAAGAAAAAGGGATATGGTTTCTTTGAGAAAATATATGAAGGATGAAAAGGCCTGCCATACCTTTTATAACAATTTGTTCTACTCTCTAACTGTGTTTTGTAATAAAAGTTTGAAACTATAAAAGGTCAATATGCTGACACTGATAATAGCTGACAGGTATTTGTGCCTTGCCCAGGAGACATTTGTTCTTGATAATTACAAATGGCTAAATTCCAGTTTGTTGTTTCAAACTGAAAGGAAACACGTGATTTTCTTACAAGTGGCCTTCAGTGCTATTTCTATGTTTTGTTAACTCTATTTTTAACAGCGGATTTGAATTGTTCTTGTAATTTATATTATATCCTCGAATAGCCCAACCTTTTGGGAGACTTAAGGCAGTTCCTTTACAAATATGTATTATTTAGATCTTTACTTAAGCTTTGTTCTGCTTTGTTTTCCTTTACAATTGCACCAGTTTAAATAAACGCATATTAACAAACAATGTGTTCTGCTGCTGTAAAATATCACCAAGTAATGTCTCTGCATCTTCATGATCCACTATAAATAATCAAACCCAAACAACTAGAAAGATGAAGGGTAATAAATGCAGTAGGTGGTGTGATATTTATCAATCTGAGTTTGGTCAGACTACTGTGAAATGGTACTGTCCAAAATCTTTGGGTCCAACTTGGGTTAGTTGGTAGCACTCTTGACTCTGGATCAAAAGGTTGTGGTTTCAATTCTCATGTCAGGGATATCGAGTCATGGTCTAAGCTGACAGTCCAATGCAGTGATGGGGATGCTGTACAGTTTGAATTGCTATTCATCAGATAATAATAATAATCCTTGCATTTGATATAGTGCCTTATCACATCTTCGATATGTCTCGATGTGCTTCACAGAATATACTGTAAAGTGAATGGACTGTATATTTTGTGAATGATGAGATGCTAAACCATGACTGTGTCTTCCTGTTCAGGTGGACGTTACAGATCCCATGACACTATTTGTAAACAGAAGGGAATTTCTTCTGGTGACCTGGCCAACAATCCTTGAAATAAAATAAAACTTCATGGCTGTTCATGGAGCACAAATTGGCTGCTGTATTCGCCTATAAAATACACACTTTGCAGTAAATCCTGTGAAGTATCCTAAGACGTCCTTCCAAAGGGAAAGACACTATATAGAATGCAAGATTATTATTTGTTATTATTATAACTTTTTACCTTATTTGTTTTAATAGAATGAAGAGAAAGCTTTGTGCTATGCCGCTATAACTATTGGACTGCATGGCTGACTAGTGGATAGAGTGCAGGGGATCAGGCTGATATCCCAGCGAAAACACACTGTAATTGCTCTTATGGCTTCCATCCAATCGTAAATAAGAAGGCAGCCTTTTGTGAGTCCTCAATTTACACCAGATCAACAGTAATCAGCTACTTCATACAGTTAAGAACCATGTTGAATTACACTGCTGAGTGGAAGGGACATATGGACTGATGTCCTTTGAGTGACATTAGCTTAGAAAAAATGGAACTGTTTTCAACAACCTGAGAGAGCCAGACTTGCAGCAACAACTTCCATTTATAGAGCACCCTTCACGCGGAGTAGTTTTACTGGAGCGTTTGACAGTGATGGAATCTGACCCTGAGCCAGGGGGGAGAGGGAGGGGGGAGGTGACCATAAGCATGATCAAAAAGGAAGGTTTTTAGGCTGGATTTGAAAGTGGGGAGGGAGGGCCAGGCTGAGGGATTGCAGGAAGGAGTTCCAGAGCTTTGAGGCATAGTGGCTGAAAGCACAGCCACCGATGGTGAAGCGGAGGGGCGAGAGATGAACAGGAGGCCGGAGCCGGCCGAGCAGAGGCAGCGGGTTGTGCAGGGGGGAATATGCAAATCAGATGGGTAGGGAGGTGTGAGGGCATGAAAAGATTTGACAATGAGTGAAAGGATCTTGAAGTCAATCCATTCAGTAAGTAATCGGGAGCCAGTGGACCCTGGGAAGGACTGGTGTGATGGGGGTACGGAGTTTTGTCTGACTTAGTATCCGGGCGGCGGAGTTCTGAATTAATTGTATTTTGTGTATTCACTACCACACACTTTGCCATGTCACTGGATATCAACAATAAATTATTTTCATTTCTGTCCATTCTTTGGAATGAATCTCAGATTGGTCAAACCTAGACCTTTCAAAATGTTACACACAAGAGTTTTAGATTTTGCATTCTCTCAACTCACCTAACCTGCTGAATATGGCAACATTAATATTTTTCTACAAGTTTGTTGTATCACTTTCTATTTTGGAACCTGCGGTTCAAGGGATTATGTTTAAAACCATGGATTTAATGAGCAGTGCATTTACAACAGCAACTATACAGTGCCCTTCCCAGGATAACATCTTGGAGCACTTAGGTCTTAAGGTTGGATTTAAAGATAGATAAAGAGGTAGTGAGTTGGAGGGATTGAGGCAGGGAATTCCAGGGATTAGGGGTGTAGTGGCTGAATGCATTTATTTAAGTTGGTAGCAGTTAAATATTAGGTTTCACTTTTTTATATTTAATTTCCAGATCCTAAATTTCAACATTAATTCGACTCTGAATTTGATAGAATATAACAGCAAAGAATCAATCCATTCAGCTCATTAAATATGCACTGGTGTTTCTCTCCTTATGAGCCACTTAGTCTAATGCACTCTGCTGCTCGCTCCCATTTCACTTGTGCCCAAATGATTTATCATCTTACGTGTTAACGATTAGACTTTTTATGAACCAAGGTAACCAGTGTATGTTCAATGAGCCACCATGAGTCCAGGGAAGTGCAATCCCTTCTTAGGTGGCAGTATTGTGCAACCCAGATTCTTCGTAAGTTGACCATTTCAGAATCTGAAACACTCTGTTAATTGGCTAACCCTTACTTAGTGAGTCAGAATGACACTTTGGCCTGTTGGAAAAGTTATGGCAGCCTCAGTTCCTAGAATGAGCCTGAGCACATTTATGTAGATGTCAGCTTTGGACAGGATCAGATTAATCTGCAATGGGTTTTGAATAGCTGTCAATGTTCATTCATAAATAATGGTCAATTGAGTGACATATTGGAGAACCATAATAATAATAATCCTTACATTTGATAAAGTGGCTTTCACACTGGGAGGATTTCTCAAAAGCGATTCCCAGGATACACTGCTAATTGCAGTCACTGTGTATTTATGGTGGAACATGGCTGCTAACCATATGCTCATTTGGAGCCACCTTGCTTCAGTGAAAAGATGTTTTTTTCCCTTGGAAATCCCTACTCATAGAATCAAAGAATTATACAGCACAAAAGAGGCCATTTGGCCCATCGTGTCTGTGCTGGCTCTTTGAAAAGGGCTATCCAATTCAATCCCACTCCCCCGGGCTCTCCCCGTAGCCCTGCAAACTTGTCCTGAATTTGTCATTCAGAGTCACAAGACTTTAGCTCTGACAAATTTGTGAGTGTAAGACAAATTCTCACGACTGTTTAGGCTGTGGGTGCTTTATCAGATATTACGCTGCTTGCATTAAAAGGCTTCATTTCGGTTTTTTTGGCTACTTAAAGAAATTTCTGACATATGTTTTGAATTACAACTTTAATTGTCATCAATGGTAATTTACCAAGTGAGATTTTGGACAATTAAATCAGCTCAGCTGCAACAGTGAAATGGCAATCACATATATCCAAATGTGATTTGCTCTAGAATTGGTACAGAGAACTGATTAAAGCCCAACTGTTTCAGGAAACAAAGACTTCTGACTCACATTAATGCCATTTTAAAGTATTAGCTGCATTAATCTAATTAAGTATTATTCATAAGAAGTGCTGTAGGTTTGACTTTTATTGTGCAAAAAAAATGTCATGCCATATTGAGCACTTCCTTCTCTCCCTCTAGTATTGTAGAATGTGTGTCATGTTAATAATTCAGGAAAGATTGTAATGAGTATTCCAGCTTGTTATTTACTGAATTGGGGATGTCAGGCTAATTAGAGCCTCAATCTCATACCGTAACACAATACAATTTACATCAGGAGGACGTCTCAAAGCACTTAGAAAGCACTAAGAAAGTAGTGGTTTAATCAATTTCATTCTCAATCCAACTCATTTAACTTCCTGAGAGGTAAACAACCATAGGTAAAACTTGAAGATAAATGAATCTCACCCCCAGTTACAAAGTTTAATCAAACATTTGCAGAACATTAATCCATCCTTTCACTCTTCAGTACACAACCATTTGCATTCCCTAGATGGCTAACTGATTTATATATTTTACTGATTTATGTCTTACTGGTTTGTATATTCAGTTATTCATTATCCTCCAGTCCAAAGGACCATAATAAACTTGCATTTGTTGTAACATTTATCATTTTTGAAACGTCCCAAAGTATTTCATGAGTACAATCAAGGGTAGCGACTGTGAACATGGCAATCAATTTGGACACAGCAATGTCCCACAAACAGCCATGAAGTAAATGATTGTTTTTTTTTAGAAGAATTGTTGTTCAGGACACCAGAAGAAACTGCCTTCTTTTTTCAAATCGTGTTGTGACATTCTTAACATTTCCCTGGTCAGGCATTGGTATAACATACCACCCAATGGTGATGACTCCGACGAAGGGTGTTAACCTAGACTATGAGTTCAAGTCCTAATGTAGGATTTGAATCCACAAACTTCTGACCCAGAAACGAAAGTACCGTCAACTGAGCTAAGCTGACAATAGTACAGCCAAAAAACACTTAGGCTCATTTATTTTATCAAACGTGAGAAGAATTCATTACTGTGACTGACTGGCTCCTCCACTTTTTTTCAAATAACATGTTTATATGTCATCCAATTTGCTCTCATCAGGAATTCGGTGACACAGAACTGAATGAGGGCAGCTCTAACCTACGGATAACGCTACTTCACATTAAACTTATGGTGTTAACAGTAACCAGGAGCTGCTTATGCTGCTGGTACCGACTGATGAAAAGGCCACACACTGGGGCTGAGTTAGTAAATAAGGATGAAAAATGCTGCTACATTGCAATAGAATTTTCCAACTAATCATACGAACATTGTATGTCAAATTCCAGTGTGAGCAACTGAAAGAGGTAAAAGGTTTGGACAGAAAAGGGTGAATTGTTTTTTGTTTGTGGAAATGTTCACACAGCAAATTTCCTCCACATGAATGGCAATCAGAGAAGCCATAATGTAATGGCAAAAGAGTGGCCCAAAGGAAGCAAGCTGCAGAAACAACCACAATACTGTACAAGTTACATTTACGGATTGGGAGATAAATTAGACTGGGAGGGATACAGCTGTTTACATAATATGGTCTGGTTGGTGGTAAAATTATACAAAGGGCCTATGACAATATTTGCCAAGAAGTGCCTTTTAGTGCGGAGCAAGTTACACAGCTGACTGTGCACCTGAGCTGGTGCAGGGTCAGGGGGTAAAGGGGGAATGGTGACCAAAAGCTCAATCGAAAAGCTAGATCTTAAAGTAGGCTTAAAGGTAATGTGGCAGAGAGGTGGTGGAGGGGGTGGGAGAGAATGGCTGAAAGCTCGTCCGCTGATGGTAACCCAATTTGGGTAAGGGGTACATGAAGCAAATTGATGTTAGCTGAGTGGAGGGAGTGGCTGCAGAAATAAGGTTGCAGGAGATCACTTTTGCCACTTGTAGCGAAACTTGAATCCTGATATTTATTTTAACTCCCTACATCTTAAATTTCTCCCCAAATTCCCCAATTCCCTTATTTTATTTATATCATGGTGGTAGAGTGGAATATGGAATTTCATCTGTCACATCCCAAAGGATTTAAAACATACAATAAGTATATTTTTCCAGAATTATTTATCATTCAAATTGATAATAGAGTCAATGATTAAAGCCAGGAGTCATTCTGATTTAAACTCACTCAGACTGGACATGTGTCTCCAAGGCAGGTTGATTTCATTGCATGCCAAAAGTACTTTACCTCATTCATGGGCGATCTAATTTCAAATAACTGAATGCCGTGCTGGGATTAACCTGTAAATTCAGAAAGGAGTTCTGATCAGTGGGCATCAAGGGCTCAAATTCATCTTCACCTGCCTCTCAAAAAGACTTCATAAAAGTCATCTGTTAGATTATCTTTGCTGATAATGCTTTCTGATTAACATTGTGAAATTAAATCGCCTGCAGCATAAATCAGAGGTAAGCTCTACTCAATGGAGAATCCTGTGCTTTTCTTTCTTGACAATTTAATTTAAATGGCATGCCAGATTTATTTTCAAGATTTCTGAATTGAAAGTTACAAATTGTGATGCCAATGTATTAATTGTCTTGTACTACTTTGGAGAACTAAGTGTGAAATCCTTTAACGTGCTCTGCCTGTGATCTGACCAGATCTAATGATAAAGTAAAGCTACTTAAAGGACCAGAGTCTTCATGTCACAGTGTTAAAATAACAAATGTGTTATTGTCTGCGAAGGAGACCTGTGTGCTATTTTCGCTGTGATGGTGGCATGCGCTTCCATTTATCTTGTCACTTTGTATGTTTATAACCAAAAAATATTGCCAAACATTTTTTTCATAAAGATAATAAATCATAATAGTAATAATTCTTGCATTTGAATAGCATCGTATCACATCTTTGAGACATCTCAAAGCGCTTCACAGAATATACTGTAAAGTGAATTGACTGTGTATTTTGTGGGTGAAAGATGGTGCTTCTTGAACACACCACAGCAATGCTCTGTTGTTTGTTTCTTTGCTTTGGTGAAACACCATCACAGGAGAGGTAAAATCAATCCAAATATCTAAAGGGGGAACGGCTGACCTGCTCTCATTTCACCTAATCCATTTGGAATCCTCTGAACTGTGCAATAAAAGGTTTAAAATTCAGTAGCTGTTGATCCAAATACGCGCACATTAATAGAAGGAAATCTGCTGTTGACAGTGGAATGCTAATGGAAGATTATCAAAGAGGAACAAAGAAATACCTTCAGAAATTCTTACTAAAAAAAGCTCCTTTGAAAAAGAACATTTGTGAATAATATCTTAGGCATCTGTTAGTAAGCATTCTTTAAGGATTAAAATATTATGTTTTGCTCAAGTCTTTCTGCAATACATCTACATCAACCATGTTTCTTTGTGAAATCCATTGTAATCTTACCCACCTATGTAGGCAACGAGCTCCTTCGATTATCCATATCAAATGTAATATACAGGGTCCTGATTTTATATGATAGAGAGTATGTGTCTCTGTGTAATGTTCTGTTACTGTACCATTTACATGGTGGGGTGCAGGGGTGAGGTGGGGTAAGAAACAGGAGTGATCGCTGTGAAATAAACAGTTACTGAATCTGTCTTGAAGTGAATATGTATCATTGTGAAATGTATAGACCCTTTATACAGTTAGTGAGTGGCTATTACTGTGAAATTTAAAGGCCCATAATATGGACAGTGAGTGTTTGTTGCTGTGAAATATACTGTAACTGAACCAGTTTATATGGATATAATGAGTGTATATGCCTGGGAATACTTATACGTTTCTCATGTACCTGGGCAAATGTTCTTTTAAAGGAAATACTTTATATAACTGTGATTTGTGATAAGATAACATTTATTGGGGTAGTCATGAACATCCAACTGAATGTACAACCACAACATATACAGTCAAATCACATTACAGTATATCCTGTGAAACATTGTGAGAATTCACAAAGATGTGATAAGGCGCTTTATCAAATGCAAGGATTATTATTATTATTAAAACAGCCTTAAGTTTAATGCTCCATTTATGTGCAAAATGCAGAATGTGATGTAATTATTACAATATGGGGCATTCCACTCCAGGGGTTATTGTTGTCCTAGCCAGAACACCTTTCATGCTTTGTTCAAATGCTTTCACTAAAAAGCTGCTTGTTGCAGCTATGAACCAATTATTGGGGTATTTCAGCGCTGCTCAACAAATACCAGTTTAACTTGACTTTTCATCCTATAGTTACATAATAGCTTCAAGCAGAAGAATTTCTGTAATATGCTGAACTCCCAGTGATGTGAAATTATCCTCTTCACACTGTGGGATGGATTCCACAGCATCAGTAGCTACAGGTAACAAATGGGCACAGGCAGAGAATTTTCAATATCCTAATCGTAGCTTTACTTTCTGCCCATGAGATCTCTCCCAATGAGTACAGTCTAGTGACCGTGACCTGGCACTACTGTCCTATAGTCAGGAACAAGGTTAGTCTGTGACTCCAGTGGGCATGCAGCAATATCAATGACAAGCTTTGCATTTAAGCTGGTTATTCTCCATCCATACTCCAATGCACACTCTGTGGAGTCCCCAAACCTTGGCTCTTGCCAACCTGTGCCTAATACTTTCCTGAATTAGGTAACCAGGATGTGTGCCTCCAGGGAGAGGGTGTGTGTTCCATTCCAACAATGTATCTCTGGGATTTCCATGTGTAGGTTGGATGTATGAAATTCTCAGCTTGGTTTGAATACTCTTAACCTCCATGAAACCTTACTCATCACCTTCATGAAACCCACCACCTACTGCCTCGAACCCCTCCCCACCAACTTACTGGTCACCCAGCTCCCCCTCCTCTATCCACTACTGGCTGACATCATCAACCAATCCCTCTCCTCCGGATCAGTCCCTGCCTCCCTCAAAACTGCTGTCATCACCCCCCTCCTGAGAAAACCCACCCTAGATCCCTCAAACCCCACCCACTGCCACCCTATTTCTAACCTGCCCTTCCTCTGAAAAGTTCTAGAACGCGTCGTTGCCAATCAACTCCGCGCACACCTCTCCTCCCAATCCCTCTTCGAACCCCTCCAGTCCGGTTTCCGCCCTGCCCACAGTACAGAGACTGCGCTTGTGAAAATCACAAACAACATCCTCTCCATCTGTGACCAGAGCTCCCTCTGCCTCCTCGTCCTCCTGGACCTCTCCACTGCGTTCGACACAGTCGATCACGCCATCCTCCTCCACCGCCTTTCCTCCGTCATCCACCTCATGGGACCGCACTCGCCTGGTTCGAGTCCTACCTCACAAACCGCCAGCAGTACATCTGCACAAATGACTTCTCCTCCCGCTCTCACCCGGTTACCTGCGGGGTACCCCAAGGATCCATCCTTGGCCCCCTCCTCTTTCTGATCTACATGCTCCCTCTTGGGGATGTCATCCGCAGACATGGGGTACACTTCCACATGTATGTGGACAACACCCAACTCTATTTTGCCACCTCTCTTTGCGACCCCCAGTCCCCTGATATTCTGTCAGCCTGCCTGTCAGACCTCAGGGGCTGGATGAGCACAAACTTCCTTCAGCTGAACGTTGACAAGACGGAAGCCATACTCTTTGACTCTCGTCAAAGTCTAAAATCTCATGGCTCTCACCTCCTCCACCTCCCCCTAAAACTCTCCAAACCCATACACAACCTAAGCGTCAGGTTTGACCCCCAATTATCCTTCCTCCCCCACATCCGGTCCCTCATCAGCACCGCCTTCTACCACCTCCGACGCATCGCCCATCTCCACCAATACCTTTCCCCAAAAAACGCTGAAACTCTGGTCCATGCCTTTGTCACCTCTCGGCTGGACTACTCCAACACCCTCCTCGCCGGTCTCCCATCCACTACCATCCATAATAATAATAATATAATATTATCCATAAAATCCAAATCATTCAAAACTCTGCCGCCCACATTCTCACCCGCACAAAACTCTGCTCCCTGATCACCCCAGTCCTTGCCAGACTGCATTGGCTGCCTATCCCAGAGAGGATCGATTTCAAGATCCTCACCCTTGTATTCAAGTCCCTGCACTCCTCTGCAACCCCTACTTCTCTGACCTCTCTCTCCTCAAAACAGTACCCATTGCTTTTGTTCCTCCAGGTCTGGCCTCCTCCTCGTCTCCTGAGTCCTCCGCTCCACCCTCGGCGGCCGTGCCTTCAGCCACTATGCCCCGAGGCTCTGGAACTGCCTTCTGCACTCCCTTCGTCTCGCTCCCTCCCTTCCCATTTTTAGGTCTCTGCTGAAGACCTTTCTTTTCAACCGCGCCTTTGGTCACCTTCCTCCCCCTGGCTCAGTCCTGGGATCCGTTACTGTGAAGCGCTCTGAGACGCCGTCCGGCATGGAGGGTGCTATATAAATCCAAGTTGTTGTTGTAGTTGTTGTTAAGCATGGTGATGGGTTTCTGCATGTGGCAACAACAACAACAACAAGATTCCATTTATTGAGCGCCTTTCACGCAGACACCAGACTAACCCAAAACAAAGCTACCTGACAACCAGTAGGTACTGTTGCCTCTGGAGGCATTGAGGAGACCACTTTAATAGGTCTCAGCACCTCTGGAGGCAGTCATTTCTGCCTCATTGACCTTACACTGAAGTCAGGCCTAATGCAACAGCAGTTGCAGTGGACCATTAAATAGCTTGATATATGCAAATGAGAAGTACTCATTCGTCATTGCAGCTTTTCAGGAGGTTTAATTAACTGTCACTAATGCTATGAAGGTCTAGTGCATCAATTTGCCTGTACCTGATGGCACTCTTAGCATTGAGCTTAAAGCTTGTGAAATTTACA